CACCATGGAAATGTCTCCCCCACTCCCACCTCTGTCTGCTCCAGCTGCCCCTGAGGGAAGGAGGTTCTGTAAGGGAAGGTGGGATTGGTGTATGAATTCCTTTCTCTTCCATCAAAGGGAGCCCTAGATCAATGTTGCGTGACTTTCTGTGCCATCTGCACTGCCCTGGAACCTGTCGCAGGACGAGAGGCTTTGTCTCAGTTTCAGCAGTTAAGTAAGAGCTTTTGGTCTCTGGTTTTCTGGAGAATTGTCCAAGGCTTTGGAAGTGAGGTTGGCACCTAAGTCCTCTTAGGACATTGGGTTCCAGCCCTGTCTGTAGCCTCTCCCTACCCCCCGCCTCAGTGTGGGGATGGAGATCCAGTCTCTGCGTGCGCATCAGAGCACAATGCACCTTTTCCGTCCTTGGAACATGTGTGGCACTGCCAGCATTTTCAGCCTGGTCTGGCTTGCCTTGGGGTGCCATGTGCATTTGCCCTTGCTCCTCCCTCTCACCTTTTAGAAAACAAGGCCCACAAAGCAAGTGCTAGGTTTTGCCATTGGCCCACTGTCAGAAAGGTCCATCGTGAGACCTAGATCTGCCAAATCAGATTCCCCAGCCCCGAGATACTGCTTGCAAGTGGCTAAGCAGCATAGGGCCTTTCCTTCCTTCATCTTCACAGCTGCCTCGGTGGCACCCTCTACTGCGTCCTGCTAGGAGACCTCCACTGACGGAACGTGTCCTGCTGGTCTTGGGCAGACACAAGTCCAGTCCCATGGACACAAGACACAAACGGGGCATAAGTGAGGGACCCAGAAAAGACCAAGAGAGATGCAAAGTAGTCATGGGCATCCTTGAGTCAGTCACCTACCTTAGGACAGTGTTATGGTTGCTGCCATTCTGCAAGTTGATAGGAGATGGGCAGGACCCAGGAAACAAGCAGCGATCCATTCCTTCTTCATCGCCTCCCTGAAGAGAGCTGCCTCGTCCTTGCATAGTAGATGGAGCCGTGAATGCACTTCAAGAATGCTAGCCGTTGGGGCTGGGGATTTAGCTTAGCGGCATAAGCGCCTGCTTTACAAGCAGGCGGTCGTGAGTTCGATCCCCAGTACCGATAAAAATGAAAAAGACAAAAAAAAAAAAAAAAAAAGAATGCTAGCTGTGGAAAAGCAATTGATACTCTAGATTTGGGGTTCCTCTAAACAAATGGCTTTTGCCAGACCCTAACTTCATTCAAGACCTTATGGATAGTTTCTCTCTCATTCAGTGCAGTGGGGAAGTTGTAACAGACAACTCTGCACTGTGTTGCTTGCTAATTTTTAAGAGAAGCAAAAGACACAGACACTGCCATCACCTGATGGCTAGAACGTACTGTATCCATGCAGTACAGTTTTATTAGGCCCTGGAAAGGAAGGAAGTACTAAGACAAGAAAGTACTGACACATGGAACAACCTTGCCTACATGATAAAAGAAGCCAGTCACAAAAGACCATATATTATGTGATTTCACTGATCTGAACCATGCAGATCTATATAGACAAAAAGCTCCATATGTGGGAGTTGAGGAGTGACTTCCCTGGGCCTGGAGTTTCTTTTGGGGGTGGAAAAAATATTCTGAAGTTACATTGTGATATCTGTTCTGCAACACTGAATATACTTTGTATCTGTGAGGTCTGTATTTGCAGATTAAACCAGCCACTGATGGACCATATTCAGGGGAAAATGTGTCTGTAATGAATGTGTACAGACATATTTCCCCCCTCATTCCCTTAATGATACACTATAACAGAACTGGGTGTGGTAGTGCATGTCTGTAATATCAGCGTTCTGTGAGGCAGAGGCAGGAAGCTTACAAGTGCAAGTCTAAGCTGGACAACTTAGACCCTATCTAAAACTAATTTTTTAAAAATGGGTTTTGGGCTCTAACTCAGTGTGAAGGTTCTGGATTCGATCTTTGGTGTCTTTATATTAAGTGTTACAAGTAATCTAGAGATGATTTAAAGTACAGAGGAAAATGGCAAAGATTGTATGTGAACACTACCATTTTATATGAGACTTGACTATTCATGGACTTTTGCAACTTCAAAGAGTCCTAAAACCAACCCCCTTGGAGTCCAAGGGACAGCTATACTGGAAACCATTTAAATGGACTAATTTTATGGTGCTAAACAAACAAAATTCAAGATGATATGTAACTGTGAATTTGTATAGTGTGGATTGTAACAGCTTTATGGGAGGTTTGAGTAGTGAAACCCATTGGAAGCTGAAGATTTCCTGGTCGATTACGGTGGCGGACTTTGGGTCACCTGGGACAGGACTCCTGACGGATGCCGACAGTTGTCAGCGTTACTGTGTGGGAACATCGAGGTGCAGAGTGGAAGGCTGCGGTGGGGTGGAGTTTGGATGTAGTGGGTAGGAGCAGATGTGGGGCGCCTCGGGGGGCCAAGCAGGGGTGTGGGTAGCCTGTGCTCGGTGTAGGATCTTGGCCGGAGAATGATGGGTAATATACATAGGGCTTGGGCACACTGGGCTGAGTCTGAACTCATAACTCGGGAGGCCACTGAGTAAGTTACCCAAGAGCACCAGCAATGCCAGGGGACAAAGCAAACCAGAGGGAGCGGGGTCTGTGTGACAGCGTCAGAAGGAAAGAGCAGAAGGACACGAGACTGGCGCTTTTCGTCAGTCGTGTGGGAGAGTTCAGTGTGGGTACCCTGCTTAGGACTGGCAACCACTGACACTTGTCATCGCGCTGTGTGAGTTTTTTTGTTTGTTTGTTTTTTGTCTTGTTGGTTTTTGGGGGAGGGGTTTGGGGTTTTTTGGTCTTTTTGAGACAGAGTCTTGCTATACAGTTCAGGCTGGCCTTAAGCTCACTTTGTAGCCTGGGCTGGTCTGGAACTTGAAAGAATCCTCCTGCCTCAGCCTCCTGAGTGCTGGGATTACAGGTGTGAGCCACCACACCCAGCTCATAATTGGAGTTTGATGTTGACCAACGGCTGGTACAGATCTCAAGCTTAGAAGTGTTTCATTAGTGAGGGAAATGAGATTTGATCAACAGGAGTGTCAGTGTTTTCTTTTGGTGTTAAGTCTACAACTACTTTTTTTCTGCCTTCATTATGACAAAACCACAAATCATTAAAAATGGAAAGAGTGGGCTGGGAATTTAGCTCAGCGGCATAAGCGCCTGCCTTGCAAGCAGGCAGTCGTGCGTTCGATCCCTGGTACCGATAAAAATGAAAAAGACAAAAAAGAAAAAAAAAATGGAAAGAGTGACTTTTTCTAAGACTCATGACACTTATTTTTAACCTGCTGTGTGTTCTGCGCACCTCTGCAGAATTCCTCTTAAACAAGGTTTTCAAAAACAAGCGCGCACCAGTCTCGTGGCTGCCGAACCCTTGCCAGCAGCGGCCCTGATTGTGATGACCCTGTTGGTGCCGCAGGGCCAGGGTGCAGAGCCCAGGAGGAAGCCCTGTCCGTTCCTGGCACCTTCTGATACAGACCCCCGTTTCCCTCCTGTCCTCCCTCCCTGCCATTTTTCCTTTTTCGTTACTGTTTAATTGAGACAAGGAACCGTGTATTTGCCTCTGCCTCCCAAGCTAGGACTACAGGCTCACACCACCACATCTAGCTCCAGACAGCTGTTTCTGTTTGCAAGGTTTCTAGCAGAGACTTGTTGAGAACTTAAGAAATAGGTTCAGTAAACCAAGAGGAGAGGAGTCAGGGAGAAAAAGGGAGTTTAAAAGCAGGACCATGAGGAGGGGCCATGGCAGTTCCCTGTCATTGATGCAGCAAGTGTTTATTTAGTAACGCTCAGTACCTGGCTGGCCTTAACATGGGGCTGAGGATTTGAAAGTAAATGTGACTCCCGAATCTTTTCCTCCGGACTAGGAGCCAGCGACAGCTTTGAGAAGTTGACCCCGCTGGCAGGGCAGCAGTGTGTTCAAGCAGGGGCCAGGGAGAGTATGTCCCAGAGCTTGGGGACCTGCCAGAGATGTAGCCAGCAGCAAACAGGTGGGCTTCTCTAAGAAAGTGGAGGCTCAGGTCAGGTGGCAGTGCATTCTGGTGGCCGGAGGAGGCTAGGAGTGTGCTTGGACATCTTAAAAGCAGGCAGAAATCTCATGTCCCTAGCTAGTGAAGAGGGGACATGGGGCCTTCCACGGCTGGCTCCTGGGTGTGTACACATCTCAGCTTCTTGAAGGATGAGTCACTGGGTGTTCTTCGTGACACTCTGGCAGGTCTAGGACTGCTGCCTGTGAGGGAAAGGTGGGCGGGAGGGGGCAGGGTGGATATCTGACTTCCTGCTGCTGGCCACAGGAGAGACCACGTCCCAGCAGTGGGATGAGGAGAAAAGGGCTTTGTGTGCAGCAGTTTCTGCTGCCAGAGCAAGTGTGGGTTTTGTGGCAGCTGCCGGCCTCTGTCTCTAATATAGGCAAAAGCTCCAAATCCTCCCAGCCCGACACCTGTTAGCCAGAGATCCCCTGAGCTGACCTTTCCTTGTACCATCTCTCCCACGTGTGCCTCTGACCCCCACCCTTGCTGGATCCTATGAACTCAGAGCCCTCATTGGTCAAAAGTACCTTCTCGGGGCTATTGGAGTTTTGAGGAGCAGAGTGTATTCAAGAGTCACTAGGGAAAGGGGTGAGGCTGACCCAACCAAAAGGAATGGGGCGTTCCTCTGGGAAGTGGCCACTCTTGGCAGAGATGTGGCATGTGCTGGGGAACTGTGGACAAGTCCTGGGAAGGGCTGGCCTTTTCCCTGGATGGGGGGAAATGAAATGTGACCTGCTTAATGCTGCTGCAGCTGCTTTCTAACTTGCCTCTTTCTTCCTCTGACTTGCGGAGGAGTGGGGTGGTGGAGACGAGACGGGGTTCCCAGGGAGCCAGGCATTTCCCACTGACCCGCATGCTCCCTGGCTCTGTGGCCTGCGTCCCTGTGGGCCGCCGAGGCTAGCGGAACTCCCTTTGTCTCCCTCCTTCCTCTCCCCCCCCCCCCGACACCTCTCCCTGGCCCCCGTGGTGGCTGCAGCCCAGCCCTGGGGGGCCCCAGTGGAAGTGGAATCCCTCCTGGTCCACCCTGGTGACCTGCTGCAGCTTCGCTGTCGGCTGCGGGACGATGTCCAGAGCATCAACTGGCTGCGGGACGGGGTACAGCTCGTGGAAAGCAACCGTACCCGCATCACAGGGGAGGAGGTGGAGGTGCGGGACTCCGTGCCTGCCGACTCCGGCCTCTACGCTTGTGTGACCAGCAGTCCCTCTGGCAGCGACACCAGCTACTTCTCCGTCAATGTCTCAGGTTGGTAGCCAAGCCCTCCTCCCCTCCTAGACCCCTCTCTGCCTGTCGCTGCTGGGCCAGGAGAGGCCAGCCTCCCTTCCTGCCGTGATCTCCCCATTCTGCTTTGGAAACTGCTGCCCACTAACACTGCTCCCTGCCCAGCGTGGCTTAGCTCTCTGGGGCGGGGAGACCTCCAGGGTGGATCCCAGGCCAAAGACCTGGTGCTTCTAAGACCTACCTCCGAGATGACTGGCAGTGCTCTCGGGGTGGTAGGACCTTGCTTTTTCCACAACTTGTCCAAATCTCCAGGACACTAAGTGGGGCCCAGCCAACTTTCATACTGTCACTGCCTTGCCCTTTGAACGTGGTGCTCAGCTTGGCGACCAGAGCCCTGGAACCTGTGGCGAGGTCCCTGCTGTAGTGGGGAGGGCTGGGGTATACCGCCATATCTGGGGGCGTGGTGGAGGCACGTTGGCAGCCAGGGACTCTGTCATTGTTAGGATGCAATTTTGACAAAACTAGGATTCAGGAAGGTAGAACTGGCATCCTATGTGTATCCCAGCACAGGGGCCTGGCACCTCCACCCAGGCATCAGTTAGAATCTGTCCCAGCAGAGGGCCCTGCCTTTCTGTCTCCTTCCAGAGTCCCAAGAGTGCCGGGAAGGACTGGCAAAAGCCGCACATGAGCCCTGTGCCTGGCTGCCAGTGTGGCGCTGGTTCTCGAGAGGGTGCATTATCACTGGCAGTGGTGCTGGCCACTCCGAGTCTTAGCGGCTACCGATAAGATCCCACCTGGAGGCCGTCCCACCCAGGGCTCCAGTCTCACATGCCCAGAGCTGCCTGGGCTTCCTGGTGGTGGGTAACCTGAAGGGGAGGACACAGGTTCCCTGCTGCCATTCTGAGAGCCAGGGTGGCCAGCGGGTGCCACCAGCTAAAGAGCCTCCAAGTGTGGTGTGGCATTGGAGAAGGACAGCTGGCCCTAGGGCACTGCCCATGGGAAGGGGCTGGGCAGTTGGGGCAGGGAGGAGAGGGGATCACCCTGGGGCGCACACTTCTTAAACAATCTCTGTCCCCTGGGAAGGTTGTCATGGGCTAGGGTGTATCTCGGCAGCACAGCACCTGCCTGGCAAGCATGAGGTCGTGAGTTCATTCCCAGCAAAAGCAAACAAACAGACTGTCCCCAAGAGAAGAGTGGGACTGGCATCCCTCCGGGCAGGGCGCTGTGACCATCTGTGACTGTGTGGCCTTCATGGGGTGACTGGGTTTGTGGGTGCAGTCTTGGAGTTGTCCTCAGTGCCCCTTTTCCTCCCTGTAGATGCGCTCCCCTCCTCGGAGGATGATGATGACGATGATGATTCCTCTTCCGAGGAGAAGGAGACAGACAACACCAAACCAAACCGTATGCGTGAGACACTTTCCTACCTTACTACTGTGGGCCTGGGAGCTGGGTGCAAGGGACTCAGGAGGTAGACGGGAGGCAGAAGGCCCGTGGGGCTCAGGCACCCCACTACCAGTGCTCTGGAGACTGGGCCTGGCGTGCAGGTGTAGGCAGAGGGCCGGGCACCGCCACCCTGCCTGGGCCTCGTTCTGGAGCCTGACCACCTCCACCATCTGGTCTCTCTTGGCTTTTCCTGGGCAGCCGTAGCTCCATACTGGACGTCCCCAGAGAAGATGGAAAAGAAACTGCATGCCGTGCCCGCGGCCAAGACAGTGAAGTTCAAATGTCCTTCCAGTGGGACCCCCAACCCCACCCTGCGCTGGCTGAAAAACGGCAAAGAATTCAAACCCGACCATAGGATTGGAGGCTACAAGGTACAGGAATGTACATATGAATGTTCAGGAAGGTAGCTTAAGCAGAGTGGGAGGCTGAGGCAGAAAGTCCTCCTCATTCTATGCCTTTAATTTGTTAGGGGTTTGGTTTGCTTTGCTTTTTTCATTTGTTTTATCTTTCGAGTTTTCTTGGTACTGGAATTGGAACCCAGAGCTTTGTACATGCTAAGCAATGTTCCGCCACTGAGCTACAACTCCCAGCCCCTTGAAATTGTGTTTTTGTTTTTGCTTTTGCTTTTGGTCTTTTTGAGACAGGGTCTCACTGTGCAGTTCAGGCTGGTCGTGAACTCACTTTGTAGCCCAGGCTGGCCTCAAACACAACCATCCTCCTGCCTCAGCCTCCTGAGTGCTGGAATCACAGGTGTGTGCCACCATACCTGGCGAAATTGTTTTAATGCTTTTTAACTATAATGACTTTTCCAGGCGTAGTGATGCAAAAAAAAGTAAAACATGCTAATGAAAACATTTGCTGGAACATTATGTACATTAGTGAAAAACTAGAAAATACCTAAATGTCATAAAATAATTGTGGAATATATTTATAATTGGATCTTAGGTAGCTATGAAAAACCATCTTTCAAACACTCATGCTTGAAATAACAGTGATTCATTATTGTTAATGAATAGTAATAAATTTTATATAGAAGGTGATTAATCATAAAAGCCATATATACATAGAAGGATCATTTTTAAACTGTTTTGCATTTGACAATTTAAAAAACACTGTCAATTATAGTTTTGTTGTTATTTTGTTTTTATCTTTTTGAGATAAAGTCTCACTAGATAGTTCAGGCTGGCCTTGTAGCCCAGGTTGGTCTCAAACTTACAACGATCCTCCTGCCTCAGCCTCCCAAGTGTTGTCATCAGCATATTTAAAACTTAGAACAGATTTCTGGAAATGAATTTACTGCGTCAAAGGGTATAAGCGTTTTTTAAGCTCTTTGTGTGTATTACTCAGTTACTTTTTTTTTTTTTTTAATGATACCAGAGATTTGTTTGTTTTTGTTTTTTTGAAAGGTCTCCCCATGTAGTCCAAGCTGACCCTGGAACACCTTAATCATCCTGCCTCAGCCTATTAAATGCTGGGATTACAGGCAGGCACCATCATATGTGGTGCCTTACTTTCTTAAAAGGCAAAATGGCCAGATCTGGTGGTGCACACCTGTGATCCCGGGGCTAGGGAGTCTGAAACATGAGGATCGCTTTGAGTTCAAGGCCAGCCTGAAACTACAGAGAGAGAGTCTGCCTCAAAAAAAAAGGAAAATGAAGTCACTTTCAGATAGCCTAGCATAAAAGAATAACAGGTTCACCAGGCCTTTGGCAACAAGTGAAAGTGCTTCATTGTGTTTGTTTTGTTTTGCTGACTGCGTGTTAATGACCAGCCTTCCTTCCTGTATAAGTTGTTGCCCTTTGACCATTCATATCTATAGGAAAATCTGTGTCATAAACCCTTCTTTACTCTCTGATCATCCAGAGAGTTCCTGTTGATCTCTCATTAACTAACTTCTATTTCTCTTTTTTTCCCCTTCTCTCTCTCTCTCCGTTCCTCCTTCCCTCCCCCTTCCTTGACTCCCCCATCCATCCGTCCATCTGTCCGTCCGTCCTTCCTTCCTTTCAAGACAGGGTCTCACTATGTAGTCTAGCCTGGCCTTGAACTCACTATGTAGCCAAGGTTGGCCTCAAACTTAGAGCAATCCTCCTGCTTCAGCCTCCTGAGTACTATGATTAGAGACATGTGCCACCATGCCTAGCTTCTTTTCTTGTTATTTTTATATAAGCAAAACAGGAAATCTGAAATAATAGAGAAATGTGGTTTGGTTTGTTTTGTTTATGGCGGTGGGGACTGAACCCAGGGCCTCACAATTTTAACAAATGTTCTAATGATGAGCTGTAGTCTTTTTCTTTCTTTCTTTTTTTTTTATAATTTTGAGAACAGGATCTAAGCTGGCTTAGAATCTTTGATCGTCCTGCCTCAGCTTTCTGAATAGCTGGGATTATAGGTATGCACCACCAGGGCCAACCACTAAAAAAAGTTTTAAGTTCATTCATCAAACTTGTACTGTATGCGAGTCACTGCACCTCAACTTTCCAGGGTGAGAAATCAGAAGCCAAGTGTGGCAGCACCCGCCTTTAATCCCAGCACCGAGGGGCCTTGTGCTGAGGGAGAACCCAGTCTGTGCCGTTCAGTGACTTAACCAGACCCTGACTCAGGGAGGGCGGGCAGGGAAGTTCTCAGTGTGGAGGCCCCGGGTTCACCTCGGTACCACAGGAAAAGAACAAACTAAGGCAGCAAATGGGAGCGATCGTGTGAAGCAGCCTTGGCCAGCACGCGGCGGAGCTGATGAGGGAGGTGAGACCAGGTCTGCTCAGAGATTAGGCTACCGCGGGCGTGGGGAACGCTGGTGTTGAGACCAGAACTCGGGGCAGCCGGGGTTAGCCACTGAGGAGAAACGCTGCGAGCACAGCGGGCCCGCTCAGCGCTGCCCAGCGTCCCGCCTGCAGTCCCCTCCAGACTCCACCAGAGCCCAGGTGTGTGTCCCCACAGGTCCGCTATGCCACCTGGAGCATCATCATGGACTCCGTGGTGCCCTCTGACAAGGGCAACTACACCTGCATCGTGGAGAATGAGTATGGAAGCATCAACCACACCTACCAGCTGGACGTTGTGGGTAAGAAGCCGAGAGCGGGAGCGCGTGGGGCAGGGAGGGTCGCACTTGGCACTCACTAGGTGTGCTACCCAGAGCAGGTTGCTTCCCATCCCAGGCCTCACTTTTGTCTTTTTTGTTTGTTTTTTGGCATAGAGAATTGAACTCGGGACCTTGCGCTTTCCAGCAGGTGCTGTACCACTGAGCTCAATCCCTGGTCCTTGTTTTAAATCTGTAAACTAGTGAGGAGGGCCAGGCAGGAGGCTGTTTCAAAACTGTGCGTCATTGTGAAGTAGAGGGTGCCACTGCTGGTCTTTCTCAAGAGCCAGCTGCTACAGATGCTCAGAGACCAGTGCTTGCCCAGGGCCAGCAACGTTCCGGGCTCTTGTAGTGGCTCCCTGTGCTTCCTGTTCCATCCCTCGTCAGACCGGCTAGGTGACTAAAGAGCTCATGCACAGGGCCTCAGGGAAGCCATGAACCCAGGTCCACACTGCAGGATACTGCAGAGAGCATGCAGGCTGTCGCCACACCTGCCCCTGCTGCAGGTCCTGTGTCACAGCGTCCCGAGACCTGCAGCATGGTCACTCAGGCAGTGCCGCCTCACCTTGGAGGAAAGGTAGCGTCTGAGGTCTGTGACCCTGTACCTCTCACAGTCTCCTGGGTGACACAGTGTCACCGCTTCTGGCCTATGCTCAGTGGCAGCTGCAGTTTAAGCAGCTGATTTTAGGTGAGAAGTAGGCTAGGCCAAGGGCTACAGATGGGACTGAGCTGTGGGCTCTCCATCAGCAAGACTCGCACTGGCAAGTGGACACACTCACTCCCTCAGACAGGAAGCTGCCAGTGGCCCAAGACTGGCATCCTGCAGGTTACCAGGGCCACAGCAGGAGTGGTGCTAAGGGCGTCATCTCTTTATAGTGACGTCCTCTGTCGGCATCCCCACCAGAACCTGCTCAGCCAAGGTCTGATGAGCCTGTTTTCTCCCTGCTTCTGCAGAGCGGTCCCCTCACAGGCCTATCTTGCAGGCAGGGTTGCCTGCCAACAAGACAGTGGCCCTGGGCAGCAATGTGGAGTTCATGTGTAAAGTGTACAGTGACCCCCAGCCCCACATCCAGTGGCTGAAACACATCGAGGTGAACGGAAGTAAGATCGGTCCGGACAACCTGCCTTACGTGCAGATCTTGAAGGTAATCTTGACCCCAGTCTGAAAGGGCCAGTGTGCTGGGAAGGAGACTGGGACCTTCTTGGGGCTCAGGTTCCTGCGGTCAGGTGCACAGACTGGGATTGGGACTCAGCCCTCGCCCATCAGGTCCTGCTTCATCGGAGCGGGATCTAGCAGGCGAGCTGGGAGTAGACGGATGGCTCAGGAGTGGCCTCGTTGGTTCCCCAGGCATTTTGGCACACTCTAGCTAGGACTTTGGGTCAGCGGCTCAAGGCCAGCGTTTGGACACATGGTTACTCACTGTCCGGGACCAACGGGTCTCCAGCCAGCAAGGAAGCCCATCTCAGCCCCTCATTTTCCAAGTGAGGACCTTTTGGCACCTGGAATAATTGATAAGGAACACAGGTTGAGGAGGTTGGGAAAGCAGGTGCCACGTATAAATCCTAAGCAGCAGAGGAATAATGGCATTGTCTTCCTTTTTCCCATCGCTTCCGGCTCTCATTGTCCCTGGCCCTTGAACACCCCATTAATCCAGGGAAGGTAGCTGCTGAGAGTCCGCAGTGGATCTCGCAACAGGAAGTTACCAGAAGCTGGGAAAGTGGTTAGCCTCCTTGTCCCAGAGCCAGACTTCATCCTCCCCTGGCTTAGCTGTCCCAAAGATTTACTGGCTGTCCCTTCTCTTTGCCACTGGTGCGGAAACTGCTGTGCAGAAAGAGAGCCATGACCCTGGGCCTTGGCCTCAGTCAATCTCCAGGCCTAGTCCTTGCCCTGGACTGCAGGAGTGGGTGGAATATAAACAGAGAGTTTGCTTTGGGGCAGCGATTTCTTTTTTCTTCCTTCCTTCCTTTCTTTCTCTCTTTCTTTCTACTTATTTATTTATTTATTTTTGTCTTTTTGAGACAGGGTCTCGCTATGCAGTTCAGGCTGGTCTTGAGCTCACTTTGTAGCCCAGGCTGCCCTTGAACTCGCAACGATCCTCCTGCCTCAGCCTCCCGAGTGCTGGGATTACAGGTGTGTGCCCCCATGCCTGACAGTGATTTCTTTCTTTCTTTTTTATTATTTCAAACAAATGTTCTGGACTTTGGAAACCAACTTGTTTTGTCCTGCTCCAAAGGGAAGACAACATATCTTGGTGTCCATGGGCCCACCTGCAGGTCACACAAGAGCAGAAAGTGGCTGCCTCTGTGTCCACCCCACTGACTGGCCTGTCGTTGGTTTGTTCCAGCATTCGGGGATTAATAGCTCGGATGCGGAGGTGCTGACCCTGTTCAATGTGACAGAGGCCCAGAGCGGGGAGTATGTGTGTAAGGTTTCCAATTATATTGGTGAAGCTAACCAGTCTGCGTGGCTCACTGTCACCAGACCTGTGGCGAAAGGTAATGGCAACATGGATGGGCCCCTGTGCTGGGAACTTGACTTGGGCCCACGCGGCAGGGGCAGGCGGGGAACCGCACCACCGCCCAATGATCCTCCTGCGTGTTTTGTGCCCGAGCCATGGAAAAATCCCTGGCCTGGGAGGCTGGTTTGGTTCGGCTCTGTGTTGGTGTCTGCCAGTTCCCTCTGTGCCTCCTGTGTGTCCCCCAGCTTGTGTGTGCGTGCTGGGTGCTAGGCTCCAGCCGGCTGCATCAATGAGATGCAGCCTGAGTGGTGGATGAGAAAAGGGACTGGATGGATGTTCCCTCTGAGGCCAGGTGCTGCCGGCCGTGAAAGAGAAAGACAGGCAGACACAGACAGGCTGCAGCTTCCACCCTTCCCTCTTGTGTGTGCCCTCTGCAACCAAACAGCCCCCGCCGCCAGGCCTTATTTCTCCATGCCGCCCGCCAAGCATGCTTGGGTGGACAGGGATGGCAGTGGTGAAGGGTCGTAACCGCCTGGACGCCTCGGGGCCGCCGGATTCCGCCCAGGGCCTCCTGTCTTCCTCTAACAGGTCTCGCTGCCTTGCTGGTTTTGTTTGTGCCCTTTCGCAAAGGAGACGCTGGGGAGGATTCGTCCTCTGATTTCCTGTCCCCTGCTCTCACTCCGTCCGTGCCTTTCTCTGTGCTGTGGTGTTCTCATGTCCTGTGCTTGTCCATTTTGCTCCCATTGTCTCTTCTAGACTGCTGGAGTTAATACCACCGACAAGGAGATGGAAGTGCTCCACTTAAGGAATGTCTCCTTTGAGGACGCGGGGGAGTATACGTGCTTGGCGGGTAACTCTATCGGACTCTCTCATCACTCTGCATGGTTGACCGTTCTGGAAGGTACACACTGCACTTCTCCTCCTCTCGATGTCCTGCCCTCACCATGGGCACGGGGGGAACATGCATCGCGGGGCCGGGGGAGAGCACCCAGAAGAGGCGGGCAGAGGGATGATGTGCCCCTCTCCATCCGACCCAAGGGCTGGGACCTGGGTTTGTAGGAATGCAGAGGCATGTCTGGCTCTCCCTTGGCCAATGCAATGCATGCACTGGGTCCAGGTTTACCTTGCAGTTGGTCTCCTCCAGGCCAGGCTCCACCCGTCCTCAGGTCCCGTCCTCAGGTCCGGCAGCTGTCGCACCTATTCAGCACCAAGGGTCTGGATTACCTGACCCTTTCTGGCTTGTCCCAAGAGCCGCATACTCCTGCCAGCCTGGAATGCAGGCACTTGACCTGAGAGCAGCCCTACAGTCCTTTGTCACAGCCTAAGACAGCCATAGGAAGATGGAGGGTGCCAGTTTACTTGTGGGCAACCATACCCCTCCTGCCACAAGTAGGGCAGAGTCTGGTGCTGGCCAGGCCAGGAGGAGCCCACAGCCTGCGCAGGTGTTGGGTTAGTGCCCGCAGGGTGGCGCTGGTGGAGGCGGTGTCTTGAGTATCCTGCATGTGGTGCAGTGCTGTTCTCTCCTGTGGCTTCGGGCACTGCCCTCTTCCTCCTCTGCCTCCAGCTGCTCTCCTGCTGCCCCGGCAGTCTCTCTGCTTATGGCAGAGAAGCGTTTTGTTATTGTTGTTCCTGTCCCCTGTTTGTCCTGTCTGTACCCTCAGTGAGTCTTTGTTTCTTATTAATATCAGGAAAGGAAAAAGTAGAACACTTTTCCCATTCTCAGCTCTGCGGTCTCTTTGTCAAGCCTGCACCCCTGGGAGGGTCCAGGTGTCGTGTTCGGAGAGGAGGGCTGGCCAAATAGGGGCCTGGTGCACCCTGAAAGCTGGTGCTGCCTTCTCCCGTTAGAGGGAAAGGGAGGCGTGCAAATTCCACACCGAAGGTTGGGGAAGATGGAAATGATGCTCCTCCACACAGCTCTGGTTTTCTTACGTTTTAAGAATCCTTTAGGGCCTATACAATACTTTAAATGTGACAAAAGAACATTGTTAATCTTGGGCAGTCCAAATATCTTTGGAAATTAAGTCACTTTGCCTGCAGTACACGTCTGACCAGCAGAGGTGACACAGACAAGAGAGGGGATATTTCATCAGGTTGCAGATTGGTTGCTCTCCCTTCCCCTGTCCTCACCCTGAGGGTACTGTGCACCAGGCAGTGCCCCCTAGTAATACCTTATCTGTCCCCGTGCCATAAGTGTGTACCACAGGGATGAGAAGGGGTTACTTCTTCTGTGGAGGCTGAGAAAGGTGTCCTCTCAGGAGGGGTACAGTCCTAGTGGTGTCCCAGTAGCAGGTTACTGAATGAATGATGGTGCATCTTGCATGGCAAGACAGTCCAGTCCAGGGATGGTGAACCTTTTGGAGCTCTCAGTGATAACAAACAGCCTGCTGTGGCACACATGCCATGTATGTTCAGCATCACTGGAGTCTATCTTTCTGTGGGCTTCGAGTCATTCAAGGAATCCCCAGAGGTCACAACACATCTGATCTCTGAGCCAGGATCTGGCCCTTGCCAGGCCCTTGCTTGGGCCTTCTCCCTGAAAGCCCCCAGGGCAGAGGAGATGAGTGCTGTGTTTCTTACGGAATTGGGGCCCTTGTGGACATAGTGCCCAGGACCTGCTAACAGCCTGTTAACACTGACCCAGCCCTGGAGGAGAGACCAGCAGTGATGACCTCGCCCTTCTACCTGGAGATCATCATCTACTGCACAGGGGCCTTCCTCATCTCCTGCATGGTGGGCGCAGTCATCGTCTACAAGATGAAGAGCGGCACCAAGAAGAGTGACTTCCACAGCCAGATGGCCGTACACAAGCTGGCCAAGAGCATCCCTCTGCGCAGACAGGTAACAGAAAGTAGATGGGGGATTTGCACGCCTGCTGAGCCAGCCTCCGGGAGCTTCCCGGGGGCCTCCCACCCCACACTCCACGCTGTCCACAGTCAGCTTCGGGCTTCGCTCTCTGAGCTCTGCGGCAGGCACAGGGGACACCCTAGCAAGTGGGCGCCTCTGGTCCGGCCAGTGAATTGCCCTCACCGTGCCCTTGATGCAAGGCCCCACTCACTCAGCAGAGGGTTGAGAGAAGTGCTGGCAAGACTGAGTATGGAGCAGTCCTTCATTTGGACCAGCAGAGGTGCCCAGGAGCAGGACAGAAAAGAGGACGCGCGTCAGTGCCAAGTGCTTTCCTTCCTGGGGAGGGGAGTGTGAAGGGGTGAACATCACGCAGAGCACACTGCCAACTCTGGCAGGTGCGGGAGTGGCCAGGAGCCTATAATCCAAAGCAGGGTTTTCACAAAGAGTCAGGACAGAAATAGGGCTGCTGGCGCGATGATAGTTACAAAGCGTGGGGCAGGAATCAGTATAAAGCCCGGAAAGGCTGGCTAGTAGTGGGGATCAAAGCCAGAACTTGGTTCTTCTGGCCTGTGCCACTCTGCCTGGGGAAGGCAAGTCAGTTACACCTCTGCTGAGGTGAAGAGCTCCTTGGGGACTCCAAGCAGTCGACCACCCTTATCCCAATGCGTGCCTCGATAGAAGGGTGACCCCACTCTTCCCCCTGCAGGTGTCCGCTGACTCCAGTGCATCCATGAACTCTGGGGTTCTTCTGGTCCGGCCCTCACGTCTCTCCTCCAGCGGGACCCCAATGCTAGCTGGGGTCTCTGAATATGAGCTTCCTGAAGACCCCCGATGGGAGCTGCCGCGGGACAGGTACCTGTCTAGTGCCCAGCTTTCTGAGGCTCCCCCTAGGCAGTTCTGACGGTGGGAGTTGTGTGTACTGCTGCTTTGGACGGTGCATGAGGTTCCTTCAGAAATTCTGTCTGCTTTCTGCTCTCAGTTCTGCAAAATATAAAGAGGTGGCAGTAGGGTCCTGTGCAAGTGTCTTTACCAGCTCCAACTTACACCTTTCTCTGTTTCCCCCCAAGACTGGTCTTAGGCAAACCCCTGGGAGAGGGCTGCTTTGGGCAGGTAGTGTTGGCGGAAGCCATTGGGCTGGACAAGGACAAACCCAACCGCGTGACCAAAGTGGCTGTGAAGATGTTGAAGTGTAAGTGATACCCCCGCCTTGCCCACAGCCCTTCCCTTTCTGCACACTCTGGGCGTGGGAGGCTACAGTCATACCTTGGCCCCAGCATCCCCTGGCTGGGCTCCAGTGCTCCCCTCTAGACTCATGAGCTCTTACTCCCTCCCACATGCAGCAGTAGCTCCCAGTGAAGGAAGGGAAAACAGAGCAGAGGGTAGCAAGAGCTAGAGAAGGGGCTCCTCACACACACCCTGCCCTTGTGTGGCTGTCCCCCACCCCACCCCCTTCTCAGTACCCACGCTCACCCCTTTGTGGTTTGCATGCAAAGCTGATGCAACAGAGAAAGACCTGTCAGACCTGATCTCTGAGATGGAGATGATGAAGATGATTGGAAAGCACAAAAACATCATCAACCTGCTGGGGGCCTGCACGCAGGACGGTAGGTACCTACTGGGCAGATCCAGCCCTGGGTAGCGTTAACGGGGAAAGAGGGATTGGGAAGAGGGGCCGGTTTCACAGTGGCAGGTGCTCCCGAGGTCTGGGCTAATCTGAGAATGCAGGCACCGAGACTCGTAGGCAGTGCGGGATGTGAACAAGGATGGTAGCCTGTTCTCAGGCTCTCGTTGTCAAATTGGTCTGGGGACTTTCAGGAAAGAATTTATCTGACTCTCTGTGATGGCAGAAGACTCCCTGCCCTGCTGTGGAGCGGGAGAGAGGAAGGAGCAGCCCCAGGCTTGTGTGGGTGGGGTGACACCAGAGGGCCACAGGTTCCCTCCAAGGGAAACCACGCTTGCTCACCTGCTGCCCTTTCCTCCCTGGTCCAGGTCCCCTGTATGTCATCGTGGAGTATGCCTCTAAGGGCAACCTGCGGGAGTACCTGCAGGCCCGGCGCCCCCCGGGGCTAGAATACTGTTACAACCCCAGCCACAATCCAGAGGAGCAGCTGTCCTCTAAGGACCTGGTGTCCTGTGCCTACCAGGTGGCCCGGGGCATGGAGTATCTCGCCTCCAAGAAGGTATGGGACCGGAGCCTCCCAGTGTGAAGTCAGGGTGGGACTGAGCTCCCAGTACCTCCACTAGGATTTTCCATCCTCCAGGAGCTGCAGCTGTATCGAGCACCAGCCCCATGGGTTGTCTATCTTAAGCTCTCAGGGACCCCAGGCAGGAGAGCTGGTGTAGCCTAGAGGCAGTGGCCTTGGGGATCAGACTGAATTCTCTTCTTATCTGTATTCTACCACTTTGCATGACCTGGGATAACTTCATTTCTTCAAATACAAAGTAAGAATTGGTGGGGCTGGGGATTTAGCTCAGCGGCATAAGCGCCTGCCTTGCAAGCAGGCAGTCGTGAGTTCGATCCCGGGTACCAATTTAAAAAAAGGAAAAAGACAAAAAAAAAAAAGAATTGGTGTGGGGGAGGATTTAGCTCAGCAGCATAAGCGCTCTGCAAGGTCATGAGTTTGATCCCCGGTACCAAAAAAAAAAAAAAAAAGACTTGGTAAGGGGGTGAGAGGAGTGCATCTGTGTGAGTGATAAGCATAGCTCCTGGTGCTCAGGCGCAGCGGCTTTGCCTGAGCCCCTTCTCAGTGTGGTCGAGACTGAACATGTACCTGGTAGGTCAGCTATTTGGTGAAAATCCAAAAGCGTGGAGCTGGAGAACCAGAAAAAGTGGCCTGTAAAGAGGCCAGCAGCCCAGAGCTGCAGGTGCCCAGAGCTGCAGGTGCCCAGAGCTGCAGGTGCCCAGAGCAGAGAGGAGAAACTGTGAGGGGTGTCCAGGCCGTGGCCACAGTGGGGAGTCAGTGGTCAGTGCCTCCACCCTGGGCTGTAGAACACGTGGGTTGGGAGGCGCATTGATGTTCGGTTCAGGGCCAGAACCCTCTCCTCTGCAGTGCATCCACCGAGACCTGGCCGCCAGGAACGTCCTGGTGACGGAGGACAATGTGATGAAGATCGCAGACTTCGGCCTGGCTCGGGACATTCATCACATCGACTACTACAAGAAGACAACCAATGTATGTGCCCGGCCACATCCCCTGCCCCACTATAGATAGCCCAGCTGGCTGGTTCTCTGGGTGGGAGGGTGGGATAAAGATGCATGTACATCCCCCACACCCACCCTGTCCAGCCTGTGCCCTCCTTGTCCCCTCACACCTCCGTGCTGCTCACAGGGCCGGCTGCCCGTGAAGTGGATGGCACCTGAGGCGCTGTTTGACCGGATTTACACACACCAGAGTGACGTGTGAGTGGAAAGAGGGATCACTGAGGGTGTGCAGGAGAGGACTTCTGCAGGTCTCCTCCTCCTTCCATCATGGAGGGAGGAGCCCCAGGGAGGCTGAGGTGGGCAGGGTGACGGGACACTGGTGGCCGCACTGTGCCCTGAGATGTGTTTTCCTGTGCTGATCCGCAGATGGTCTTTTGGGGTCCTCCTGTGGGAAATCTTCACACTGGGTGGCTCCCCATATCCTGGGGTGCCTGTGGAGGAGCTTTTCAAGCTGCTGAAGGAGGGTCATCGGATGGACAAGCCCAGTAACTGCACCAATGAGCTGTAAGCCTGAGAAGCACCTGCGGCTACCCGCGCCAGGGTGGGGGGAGGGAGGCTTCCCGGCACCTCCACCGCTGTGCTCTGCGCAGGTACATGATGATGCGGGACTGCTGGCACGCTGTGCCCTCGCAGAGGCCCACCTTCAAGCAGCTGGTGGAAGACCTGGACCGCATTGTGGCCCTGACCTCTAACCAGGTAAGGACTGGGCCATCCTGAGTCTCCCTGGGGAACGCACGCTGAGCATGTCCATAGCCCCGCAATCCCTGTCCCTGTCGCAGGAGTACCTGGACCTGTCGATGCCCCTGGACCAGTACTCGCCCAGCTTCCCTGACACCCGCAGCTCCACCTGCTCCTCGGGGGAGGATTCAGTCTTCTCACATGAGCCACTCCCCGAGGAACCCTGTCTGCCCCGCCCCTCGGCCCAACTTGCCAATGGCGGACTCAAGAGGCGCTGACCTCGCCTGTCCCTCCCCAGGCCACTGCCACTGCCCCACCTGCTGCAGGAGCCCCGAGGCCTGACCAGGCCTGCTCCCTCCCCCACCCCCCGGGTTCCCCACTTCCCCACTTGCTCTCTGCCTGCCGGTGAGAGAGGAGCGAAGAGGTGCCCGGCCGGCCGATTCCTTCCTGAATATGGACCAGGCCTGGCTGCCCCTGCCCTGGAGGGTCAGGGTGGAGCCAGGTGGAGCTGGGGAGATCCCTGAGATCTGGGTACTGGGTCTGTGCCGTGGCTGGCAGCCCCTTGCATCCTGGTGGCAGGTGCCTTGTCCTCAGGGCTACTAGAGTAGGAGGCCACCACTTCAGGCCTCAGAAGGTAAACGCTGCTCCAAGTAGACGGTGCCAGGGGCTTATTAATTCCCATACTAATTTGCTTTGCTGACCAAATACCTGGTACCAGAGGATGGCGAGGTGGCCAGGGCCCAGCCCTGAACCGGGGCTTTGTACATAGCTATGAAGAAACACAAAGTGTATAAATCTGAGTATATATTTACATGTCTTTTTAAAAGGGTCATTACCAGAGATTTACCCATTGGGTAAGATGCTCCTGGTGGCTTGGAGGCATCAGTTGCTATATATTAAAAACAAAGAAAAAAGGAAAAAAAAAAAAAAAGGAAAATGTTTTTAAAAAGGTCATATATTTTTTGCTACTTTTGCTGTTTTATTTTTTTAAATTATGTTCTAAACCTATTTTCAGTTTAGGTCCCTCAATAAAAATTGCTGCTGCTTCATTTTTATCCAGGCTGTATGAAAAGGGAGCAGGTGTCCCCTGGAGAGAAGGGAGGCTAAGGCCCTCGGGCTGTCTGTCCGTCAGACCTGCACATTCCCCAAAGTGTTCTTGTCATCTCGTCTCCTAAGTCGTATACCCTGACCTCCTCCTATCTCTGAAGCTTTTGGGAAGACAGGAAAAGACAACTTTCCAGTGGTGGGCAGAAACCTCCTGTCTGTGCCCCACAGTGCCAGGCAGAGAGCCAGGGCCCAGCCACCCATGCCCACAGACTGTCCCTCGGGATGCCGGTGGGTGGGCCACGGAGGGAGGGACCCTGGGGTCAAGCAGGAAGGCCCACTTGAGGCCGAGAGGCCTGCCCTTTGCCTGCAGTTGAGGTATAGCCTGTGGCTAGGGACAGAAAATGTGTGTCCTGAGGCTAGCTCTGCACTCGGGCTGACTGCTTTTCTCCTCCAACCTGACTGTTGATTACCCTTCCTCAAAGCATTCCTCCTGCCTCTGCAGGACTGTCACAGATCTTCACTTCCTATGGACCCTCCTGTACAAACTCCACCCCGTAACTGGTTTTTTTCACTCCCCGGAAGCTTCTGCCACCTGCTGGTTGTCACTGTCCTCACCAGGTGGACTCTGGCTCCTCGGCACCTTATTGTTCAGCCTACTCAGCCTCTGTCCTCACAGTTTATTTTCTGCTGGACATAGACAGCGCCACATGCTTTTGTCTCTGTGGGAAGATGGGACTGCTGCTTTGCATTTCCCTTTCTGAGCTGCATGGTTTTGGGTAGCTGCAGTGATAACTATTATAAAATTCTCCTGCTTTTGTTTTCCTCCAAATGCACAACTGTCAACATATTAGGGCTTCTGTTTGTGTTTAAAGAAGATACACTTTGGTGAACATTGTGTTTAAAGAAGATACACTTTGGTGAACAGAGCCAGGAAATGAATTCATCTCTTAAAATCATTTGCTTTGAGATCGCACACAGTGTCTTTCCTTGTAAAACAGTGATAATTTTTGCCGTGGCCCTGCTTTGGTACATGTGAATGGTTGGAGGGTCTGCAAAGGAATTCATACGCATTCAAGAGAGGTGCTAGAGAAATACAAGCCACCGTTATTGTAACAGTGATGTCCTTGCTGTTACTACTCGAATCACCCACAAATTTCCCCGGAGACTGAGCTGGCTGTCAAATAAAAGATAGTAAAATTGACCTAAGAGAAAATGAAGTGGCTATTTTACTTAGATGACTAGGTAAGGTCTCTCGGGAAAAGGATTCCCGTTTACCTAATGAAGACCGTGTTGTCAAGGCACTGAATGTGCCTGGCTTCCTCAGGGTTAAGATTAGGTCCTGGGACCTCCACAGCATTAATCAATACTGTCTGTCCTAATTGCTCAGGGCTGGATATCATCAGTCCCTTGGTGCTCCTAATGTAATGTATCGATCTCAGGTAAGTAAGATTGAACATGAGATGCATCAAGAAATCTCATCTTATCCTTAATGAAGTCACACTGTTGCTATTAGCAAACGCTGGGTGGAGCCAGTGAGCTAAAATCTCCACGAGTCTGAATTCAATCTGCTTTGAACATCTGACCTCTTGAGTGCTGTACTAGTGAGTGGGAGGTCTTCGGTCTAGGTTCACACTAGGGAGCATTTGCTTTACTGGACACGCCCCCCCACACACACACACGCTGGGGTTGTATCCTGCCACTGAGCTACAGCCCCAATCCTTACCCCTAAGATTTTTAATGATTACACAACTAGACATGGGGTACTGGGCATGGTGCCATACGCCTATAGTTTAGCACTTGGGAGCTGAGGCAGGGTTGTTGGGAGTTAAGGCCAGGCTGGGTTAGGGAGGAAGACTCTTGTCTCAAAACTTGTTAAGTGTGTATCTGTCTGTCTGCCTCCCACAGCGCAGCAGAATTCTGTGTGAGACAGGCCAAGTGTAACATCACTGCAGTTTGCACTGGAGAATGCCTAACATCTGAGCCAGGGAGGTTATTAGCTGGGGGAGCCAAGGCATTTGCAGGAAAAGACAGGGTAAGCACAGGAAACAGAAAGCTTTGAAGCAGACCAGCTTGGCCTCCCATTCCTTCAGATGATGAGAGCCAGGAGGGGCAAGACCAGGCAGGGCCCAGATGTCAAGACCATCTGGGCCGGTCCCTTTTGGTTGGCGCTTTATAGTATTCAGAGCCTTCCAGCTCTGCCTCCCAGTGTGCCTTGGCACACAGATGTGGGTTCGTGGTCATGCTTGCCAGTCAGCCATCTCTCAACTCCAGAAGGGCCAGCGGTAGCTGCAGAGGCCTTGCAAGGGCTGTAGCTCATCACTGGTCATGGTAGCCAGCCTCAGCTTCAGAGGGGATATTTATTTACATAACTGGCATCTGAGGATGCTATAGATTGAGCTGTTTTTCCTCAAAGTTGATTACTAACCATTTACCAAAGCTCCATCAGCTGGGTTTCGGCGTGGGGTTAGAACTAGCAATCTTGGGGCTGGGGATTTAGCTCAGTGTCATAAGCGCCTGCCTTGCAAGCAGGCAGTCGTGAGTTCGATCCCTGGTACCGATAAAAACGAAAAAGACAAAAAAAAAAAAAAAAAAAAGAACTAGCAATCTTGGAAGCACCCAAAATTATGAGCACAAAGAAATATCCATTACTCTAGGGTCAGCAGTGTCAGAATGGTCAGAAGAGAAGAGTGGGGTCTCGATGTGCAAAAACAGATGAAGGCCAACTGCGGCCCCTCCGCCTAACCACTGCCCTTCTGCTCACAGTTAAGGCCAAGGAGAATTGCAGGACTGTTCAACAAGCAGCACGTGCAGCCAAGTTAACAAGCCAGTCCCTCACATTTAACACCTGAAATGTAGACTAACACCCATTATTTTAAAACTGGAATTTTATCATGAATCACCCGACTTGGCCAATAGCAGATGTGTGAAATGCTGTGTCTGCACGGTAGGGTAGTTCTGGGGCCAGCTGGGGCTTGTCCTCTAATGGAGAAGCTTAAGTGTATGAAGCACACAATCTTGCTGTGAAGTGCTGATGACATTTCTCATCTGGGTGGCTCCAGGCAGAGCAGATGTTGAGTTTTACTTTACCTCTTAGCAAGGGAAGAAAGCTCTTGGTTAGCCATCCTGTCCAGCGATTCCAGTGTGAGAACACTGATGGAAATACCCGAATGGAGGACATGTTCGTCGAGCACAGGGGATTCTATCTGACTTCACCACTCTATGACTAACAGTCCTCTTTGTGAAAGACAATCTGACCAGAAAAACCCACCCAGCACAAACAAATGGTTAAGCCTTAAGTCCTTAATTATGTTTCTGAGGGAAATGATGGCTAATGAAAGCCACATGTGCCAGGACAGTGGCCACCTCCCTGATTCCTGCAGCCTGCCGGGCCAGCTATACAGCAGCCAGGCCTTTGTGACTGCCCATTTGTGAGGCTTCCCACCTCCTCTAAGCTCCTTTCCTTTCTTCATTTCCAGGAAGAACCTTCCTGGGAAGTTCATCCATCCCACCTAGGCGCTATTTCCAGGGCACTGCCCCAACTGATGAGTGGTTCTGAGAAGGCTGGCCAAGTGCCGGTAGGATGGCTTTAGGAGCCTGCAAGTTCCAACTCAGGGTTCCACATCAGCAGCCGCAGGAGAATCTGGGGTACTGAGTGGATCCTATTATGCAATAACTGAAACCTGACTCAAAAACAACATGGTGGGGTGGGCTCTGCACAGGCTTTAGTGGAACGACAGTGCCATGGAGAAAACACTGCAATGGCCTTTCTTCCTCTAAGAGGCAGCAGACATCGCCCCGGAGGCTACCCGGCCTCAGGCTTGCCCCCAGGACTAACTGGCTGGCCCTCTGGCTGCAGGTAGTGTCCACAGGTGCCACTGCCGGTGTGGGCGGAGGCTGCCTTCAAGCACTGCCGTCCTTAGGCTCCCTTTGAACTTGCCTTGCTATTCGGGACGTCTTCTGGGTTCGGCCTGGAGGACTTGGGTATGAAACAAGAACTTCCGTGAGGCACTAGTCACAATCATCACGTCGGCTCTTCAGAGATGCCTTGTTTTTCAGTATCAGCTTGTTTGATTTGCCTTGGTGACACAAATGAATGCAAACAGCCCTCCATGTGCTGGGGTCACCATGTGCTTACCTCATCTGGGTGTCACGGACTCTTCCGCCAGCAGCACTGGCTGGCCATGGCCACGTCACAGTTCAGGGCTCCGGTGACCTGCCTACTGTTTACTCGTGTCATGCTTTCTGCCCTTGCCCCGGATTCCTTCACCCAGATGAGATAAGTAGACAGAAAAGTAACTTCTTATTTATGTGCTCTGCTCTTAATATTTAAATTGCTTTCCTGAGATCAGAAGCCTGTGTAAAGTATACAGCATAGGGAAGCTATTTCCATGTGGCGCATTAGAAAATAAGGATCTGCCTATATGCTAATTAGCTGTTAGATGTAACATGGTTAGGGCTGGTTCACCATTGCATTGGTTGGTAATTATTTTTTCCACTTTTGGATAACTGTACTAAGAAATGCAGTGGTTATAAGATGACTAAATTTCACCCAGCAACTTCCTGTTTGGTTGACGGGAAGAATTAATGTGCTGTTTTGCAATGCTGTAAGTCTAGTCTCACTGCCCTTGGAGACAACTCAAGGAAAAGGTCTTTTGTTTGTTTCTCAGACTTTTTTTTTTTTAAACTTTCTTTTTAGATATTTACCGCTTCTTTAGAAGAAGGGATGGGTAACTAGAGAGGTGTTGGTGGTGACTTTGGTGACGAGGATGGTACTGGTGGTGGCTGCAACAATTCTTCATCCTTAAACATCAGAACCGAGAGTTGGGTTACTGATTTAAAATAAAAGATACATAAGATCTACTTACGAAGGCTATCGGGAGCTTTTAGCTTCTTATTCTGGTACAAGGTTCAGAAGGCAAAATCTACAGCCTACTAACATGTAGCCAAATGTTGAACTTTTTTTCTTTTTCAGCACTGAAAATTGAACCCAGAGCCTCACACCTGCTAAATAAGGGCTCTGTTACTGAGCTATACCCTCAGCCCCAAATGTTTAACATGCATACGTAAATTTATATATTTTTAGCTTTTTGAGACAGGCTCGCACTGTGTAATCCAAACTGGCCTTGAACACACTATTTATACCAGGCTGGCCTCAAACTCAGCAATCCTCCTGCCTCAGCCTCCTGGGTACTAGGATTACAGGTGTGTGCCAGTGAATGTTTAACTTTTAAACAGTACAATATTCCTTACTTTCAGCTGGACATGGTGGCTCATGCCTATAATCCCAGCACTCTGGAAGCTGAGGCAGGAGGATCATTGCGAGTTCAAGACCAGCCTGGGCTACAAAGTGAGCTCAAGGCCAGCCTGAACTGCGTAGTGAGACCCTGTCTCAAAAAGACCAAAAAATATATATATATATATATATTCCTTACTTTCAATACTATTGTATTGAAGTTTGGTTTTCTTAATGTATTATAATTTACAGAAAAATTAACATATTATTATTTCAAACTTAAGTAGAAAGGAGCTGTCTAGCCTTCATTCCTGTCAGTTGAGGTGCAGAATCTACCATGTTCTCTTTAAATGTGGGGGAAGGAGGTGATCCCACAGGAATGTCTGTCTTTGAAGATGAGGGAGAGAAGCAGTCTGCCAAAGTGTAAGCTTTCTGCTCTTCCCAAAACTCCGAAGCTTCTTTACAGCAGACAGTGCCTTTCAGCACGATTTGCTTCCCACTAAATCCCTGACTTCCTCCTGACTGCACCCTTCATGAGTAACTTATGAAATATGTCCTCAAAATAGCAACTCAGAGTTACTTCTCTGTGAGTTCTGACCACTCTATAAAAATCACACTAATGTTTAAGATCTTGTGACTTGCCTGTTCTCAGTCTCAAAAGAAAAAGTTGCTATGTCTCACTCATTAGTTTCTAACAGCGCTGACATACCCAGTCAAAGTGGACACCCATCTGATACAGTACTGGGAAATCTGCTGACTGAAATGCTGGGTGGAGTTGGGGGTATAGTGGAGATATGGCCTGTGCATGCCCTGGGTATCCAGCACGAGGAACATGGAAGGAGGCAGTAGCACGGATGATAGATGAGATTAGGGAGCCATGGTAGGATAACTTGTTACCTAGTTGTAAGAATCACATTAATTGGGGCTGGGGGGGCTGGGGATTTAGCTCAGTGGCATAAGCACCTGCCTTGCAAGCAGGCGGTCATGAGTTCAATCCCCGGTACCAATAAAAATGAAAAAGACAAAAAAAAAAAAAAAAAAAAAAATGGGGCTGGGGATTTAGCTCAGTGGCACAAGTGCTTGCCTGGCAAGTGTGAGGTTGTAAGTTCAATCCCCAGTACCACCCCCCCCCCAAGCCACATTAATTAACTTTGAAAAAAATCACTGCTTTTTAGAAATAAGTTTGTGACTACTATAGGGAAAGGGACTGCGGTGGTGACAAATCTACAGCATGTGTGCCACAGTTTTGTCACTAAAAAGCTCTAAAAAAGCTCTGTCACTGGACTAGTATATTCAACTGAGTCTCAATTTTTTTTGTTTGTTTGTTTTTGTACTAGGTATCGAATTCAGGACCTCGAGCTTGCCAAGTAGGCACTGTGCTAGTGAGCTGTAATATCTCTGCCTCTCAATTATTTTTTGTTGTCTTTGTTTTGTCAAGACAGCAGTTCAGGGAAGCCCTGAACTTCCTATGTAGCCCAGGCCTCTTGCCTCAGCCTCCCAAGGACAGAGATCATGGGCATGCATCTCCACACCCACTCAGGACAATGCTTCAATTGTTTAACAGCCCAGCATGCTACTAGTTCCTAGGTTCTTTGTTTTGTTTTTGGTACCAGGGATTGAACTCACAACCTCATGCTTGCAAGGCAGACACTTATGCTCCTGAGCTAAATCCCCGGCTCCTACTTCCTTTTTTGAACATACAAAAGAACAGAAATGTAAAAATATAGAAGAAAAGGACCATCAATACAATTCTGAGGCGCTTGTCCCTTGTCCTTGAGTCCTTTCTTACCCAGCATCTGGGTAGAGTTGGTGCCCATCTAGAAAAATTGTGAGAACCCAGATTTAGCTCTGAGACACCGTTCCTCCAACATTCCCTCGAGTGCTCCTGGCGGCCCTCAGAGTAACAACTTCAATCTGCCCTAAGTAGATTCAGGAGTTTGATCAAGTGAGCATTCGCTAGGGCAGCCTTCATGGTCTCTACAAGAAAATTGCTTCTAGTCTTCCTAGGATCCATCCTGGATAAACCCTAAAGCCAGATTCTGGTCTGGAAACACACAGACAGGAAGGCAGTGTTTCCTGGAGTGGCTTTTTCATGTGAGCCTTCAAACAATCCTTGACTTGTCTTGGTGGAGAACATAGCTGAGATTTAAAATGACGAGTCCTCACCTTGAGCCCTTAGACTCGGCCATTAAGCCAAGTATGCAGCCTCCTCTACAGCAGTCTCCATTCTCACTCAAGACTGGGAGGAAGATGTAAAGTCCAGAGGAAGAAATTGAGACCTTTTCTGAGGGGCCAAAGCAAGACATGCTGTCAGGCTTGGGCCCAGCCTTGGCAGCTGCTTCAGTAAAATACCAGCAGGAAAAATGTGGTTGAGTCCGAGGCAAAGTTACTAAGAAAACAAGTTGGAGACAGAAGGTCACATCCTACACTGGCCATTCTTTGCTTTAAAACTAATAGGAATTCAGGTAAGTAAGATGTGAGAGAAACGGTGGGGCAGGAGAAAGTCTGCTAATGAAGAAGACCGGGGAGTCCAGGAGGAACGATGGATGCTCCTAGCAGGAGGGTTTCTGCTTAGGGTAAATGGTCACAGACCCAGCGCTACAGTGGTCTCGGTGGCCTTCTGGAAGAGGGCACTTGTAAGCCACACCCTGCTGCTGAATCTTAAAAAGGGTGATAGGGCTGGGGATTAGCTCAGTGGCATAGCACATTGCCAGTGCAAGGTCCTGTGTTCAATTCCTGGTACCAAAGGAGAAAAAAATAACATGTTACAGCTGGTTGAGCCAAATTTCAGACCTACTCGGATCACGAGTAGGTGGAAAGGCCTTGGTAACAAATCCACAGACTGAACCCAAGTACTCACCTGGCTGTGCTGTGGTATCTCAATCGGCTTTGGCTTCACATCTATCAGGTAGAAGGTACGAGACAGCAGCAGCAGAGACGGGGGCACGTTCTCCTGCAGGTGCAGATCCAGCCACTGAGGACGGGGAGGCACAGAGGGATGGAGCTGGGACACTCAGCAGCCCACACTCTTTCCGTCTCACTCCCACAAGCATGGCAGACAACGCCGTTTTCCTGATTTATGCACCCACCTGAGCACCTGGCAGCTTCCCTTACTTTACCCAGGGAGGAAGCGCTCAGGGAAGCTCTCAACCAACTGGGTAAATGCTGTGTCTTCTCTTAAAAACTGATAGCTAAGCTGGGCATGGTGGCTCACGCCTGTAATCCCAGCACTCAGGAGGCCGAGGCAGGAGGATCGTTGTGAGTTTGACATCAGTTTGGGCTACAAAATGAGCTCAAGGCCAGCCTGAACTGCACAGAGAGACCCTGTCTCCAAAACACTAAAAAAAAAATAATTAAAATAAAAGCCAGGCATAGTGGCAGGTACCTGTAATCCCAGCACTTAGGAGGCTGAAGCAGGAGGATCCCAGGTGTGAGACTAGCCTGAGCATAGCAAGACCTTGTCTTAAAAAACAAAACAAACCCCACAAAATAAACATTACAATGAGGATAAACGGTAGATTAAGTTTTGGGTTTCTTGGGTCTCATTAGCAGTTGAGGCTGGCCTTGAACTCACCATGTAGCCCAGGCAGGCTTCCAACTCCTGGCGGTCCTGCCTTAGCTTCTCTGAGTGCTGGGATTATAGGCATGTGCCACACATCTGTTTTTCCTTTTTTTTTTTTTTTTTTTTTTTTTTTTTGGTTTTGGTACCAGAGATCGAACTCATGACCTTGTGCATGCCAGGCAGGCACTTATGCTGCAAAGCTAAACTCCCGGCCCAACACATCTGTTTTTAATTATCAGACCGACCACTTTCTTTCTCCCCCAGCACTAGGAATTAAATCCTAGGCCTCACACAAACATTCTACCACTAAACTATGTTCTCAACCATTTTTAGTTTGAGGCAGCCCAACTAGTTAACCGTGCTGGCCTTCAGTTTACTAGCCTTCTGCCCAGCTTCCCAAGCAGGTGGGACTGCAGGTATGTGCCCCATTCTCAGCTTGGCCAAGCTTGCGTGCTTGATTTTTTTTTTTTTTTTTTTTTTTTTTTTTTTTGCTTGCTTGATTTTTTGAGACAGGGTCTCACTACGTAGCCCAGGCTGACCTCAAACTTGCAGTGTTCCTCCTGCCTCAGCCTCCCAAGTGCTTGGATTTCAGACATGCACCACCACACCCAGCCTGACCAAGCCTTTTTCCTTTTAATATTGTTAGATCAATCATACATGATCAAGATACAACTCAAAGGTAAACACAATGTACTCAATAAAAACAAATCTTTCTTCTATCCCTATCCTCTAGCCATTCTCTTCTCTATATTATCTTCCTGAGATACCCTATACACATACACATTTATATATTTTTATCTTTACACAAAGCATGATGTACACAGTTTAGTCCTTGGCTTTTTCCACTGAAATGTCTTACTTAGATCCTGCTTCATCTCAGTAGATGTAGCATTGCCCCTCTCTTAAACATCCTTAAAGGAGTCCGTTGTGTGGAAACACTACAATTTGATGACTTTCCTATTAAAGAACTTTAGGCTGTCTCCAATACTTTGCTATTATAAATGGATAAAATTGTACATCTGTCATTTTGACTTGCACAAGGAACAGTAGTGACAAACACCTATAATCACAGTTTCTTAGACACTGAGGCAGGAGGACTGCAAGTTCAAGACTAGTCTGGGGGCTGGGGATTTAGCTCAGCGGCATGAGCGCCTGCTTTGTAAGCAGGCAGTTGTGAGTTCGATCCCTGGTACCGATAAAAATGAAAAAGACAAAAAAAAAAAAAAAAAAGGCTAGTCTGGGCAACTTGGTGAGAGCTGTCTCAGTTTTAAGAAGGACTAGGGATGTAGCTCAGTCGTAGAACATCTGCCTAGCATGTGTGAGAAAGAAACAAAGAAGCAGGAAATCCAGGAGTGGAAGCACAAGGGAATCTGGCTGCTGGCCTCAGAGACAGCAAGGCCGGGAGGCGAGAATACCGGTGGCCTCTGGTGCTGAGGAGTCTGGGCTGAAAGCTAGGAAGGAGACAGGACTTTGTCCTATGGCTGCAAGAAACTAGGCCAACACAAGAAATGAGCTTGGAAGTGGATTCGTCCCCACAGCCTCCAGGGAGGAACACAGCCTGCACTTCTGACCTGTGGAACTGTGAGCTAATAAATGAACTGTTTTAAGCCCCCAAGTTAACAGTTCGTAGTAACAGCCATAGGAAACTAACTCAAGCCAGGCTCTGGGTTTAATTCCCAGGACCAAAAGAAGAAGGAAAACGCAAACTAATACGCATCCCATCCCAGTCAAAATGTAAAATCCAGCTTCTCCAGTGTCCCACTGCTCAATGAAATAGGTAAGATGGTTTACCGTGTGGGTCTTAAACATCTCTGGACGGTCTGTGCACTGCAGGTTTGGTCAGGAGCCCCTAGGAGGCAGCGCCTAGCAGGAGGGAGGAAGCGACCTCCTTGGATTAGGCGGTTTGAAGTGACACTGGGACCTTGGCCCTCTCTGCTTCGAGTCACTATGAGAGGAACAGGCCTCTGCCATGCATTTCTGCCCTGGTGTGCTGTGCTGCTACAGGCTCAACATGTCAGGGCCAAGCCATGACTGAAACCTCTGAAAACCATGAGCCCAGATAAATGTATTCTTAGAAGTTAATTATCTCGGGTATTTTGCCATAGCAACAGAAAGCTGTCCAACACACTCAAGAAGCAGAATGAAACAGGAAGTCTGGGAATCACCGGGAAGAGTCCTGTGGGGGGAACCGGGTGTGGCTGGCTTGCCTCTGTGAGCTGCTGTCGCAGCTGTTCCTCGGTGAGGCCCAGTGACCGCATGCCTCGGGCCCGACAGGCAGCCTGCAGTTCTGATACACTCAAATCTTTCACCCCTTCTTTGGCGATTATCTGCAAGGAATGTAAGAGACGGTATCAGACCTTTCGGTTCCAGTTCTACCCAACCCCTACATTCCAACAACTCAACAGAAGCCTAGAGTCTGTGGCTCAAACCCTCTGTCCTCTGTATTGACTGTTGCACAGGCCCAAACCCTAACGTACGAGGTGACTTTGGAAGGTGACAGTTGAGGTGAAGAGAATCCTGTTAACAGATATTAGTAGTAGAGATATTAAGATATCTCATTCCCACCATTTTATCCACAAAATATTTCCCCTCTTGATTTGCATTTGTCTGGTTGTCACAGTCTCTTACTTTGTATAACATATAAGAGGATTGGGGCTGGGGATTTAGCTCAGCAGCATAAGCACCTGCCTTGCAAGCAGGCAGTTGTGAGTTCGATCCCTGGTACCGATAAAAACGAAAAAGACAAAAAAAAAACATATAAGAGGATTTTCACTTGAAAAGTTTTCAAGGTAGTATTTGTTAGGTGTCCCATTGTTTTCCTCCACTGCCCCCACCTCTAAAACAGGCAAGAATGGCCCCCTCTGGTCCACAAAACTCTCGCTATAAATAACATACTGTAGTTTCTGCTTGGTGTGACCCAAAGCTATCGTCCTCATGGGACCTATATTGTTTATGCCAAAGTCCTGAAGGCAAAATCTGAAACTCAAATAAGGCCAGTGGGATCATGCTTTCTCAGTTCAGGGAGACCTGCTCCCTCAGGTAGAATGCTATATAGAGCAGCTGGTTTAGATTGCAGAAACCTCTTTTCCACTTTTTAAAGGGGTCTAATAGTAGTTATAGTCCACATGGTGCCATCTATAATACATCTGGACTCTGGTTTTTTTCCCCAGCATTACACTGTGCCAGACTCTTCTTACCAGGCCAAGTCACCCAACAGAATGTTTACTTTGGCAGTGGCTCCTTGGTGGGGGAGCAAAGGTGTGAGCAGAGCTTTGCCAGGAATCCACCAAGCTGCTGCTTCCTTCCCAGAAAGCCCTAATTAGTCCTAGCCAAGATATCCCAAGCATTGTTATGATGGTCTTTTAAAAAATATGGTTCCCTGCACAATAGACAATTCCTATTGTAATCGAGATGCAAGTCAACCTGGTCATGATGTTTAAACCATTCATTTTGCCAGACTCTATCCCTGAGAGGCCTCAACAGAGAACACAGTTCTTCATGACAAAAGCATCCCTCCTAGTCCCTTGGGAATCCCTGAGAGCCACAGCTAAACTCTTACTCTGTCGTCTGCTTTTATAGATTTCAGGGTCATCAGGAGCTGAAAGCGAAGCAAATTGTTCGTTCCAAAAGTTTGTAGTTCTAGCAGTTTGCAAAGAGCAACCAGTTGAGGCCGATCTAGGTGCTCCAGGGTCAGCTGGTCCTCGAAGAGTTTGGAAAAGCCAACTATCTCTTTTGTGCTGGGTTTGTGGCCTGTCTGGACCTAGGCAACAGGACAAAGAGGCTAATTAAAATGTGCTGCCTACTTCCCATAACCTTCTCAAGGCTACTAGGAAGAAATGGCAAAGCAGTTACAGCTTCTATTTGCTGTCTGGAAATGGACCTTTAAAGAGTTTAAAGAGGAGTAAACAAATCTGAAGTTAAACTAAATTGTTGGAAAAATCAGGAGTAGTTCAAAAGTTTAACCATTCTTTCCAAAGAGTTTACCATGTCCTTCCACACAATGTTTTCATTTTTGCTTGTTTGGCTTTTTCAGAAAGGGTCTCATTGTTCAGTCTGGCCTTGAACTCACTATGTTGTCCAGGATTGTCTTGAACTCTTGACGTCCTTCTGCCTCAGCCTCCTTAGTGCTAGGATTACAGACATGCACCACCACACCCAGCTAACACAGTGACTGTTTTAAGGTAGCCTCTTCTGCAGACCACTATGTTTATTGTTTTAAAAATTATTTCATTTTGGTACCAAGGATCAAACTCATGACCTCACACTTGCCAGGCAGGTGCTTATGCCACTGAGCTAAATCCCTGGCCCTGACCACTATGTTTAAAATGTTAAATGTTTAAATATTATAGATATATTATTTTGGTTATTACAATTTCAGAGATTGTGAGCAATATGGAAGATTCATGGAGACATGCACTTGTCACACAATTCCAGCCCAGTAGCCATTTACAAGTACAAGGTAAAAGAGAGACACCTGTTTTACATAGGACGAGAGCTGTGTAGAGGCCTCTCCCAACTTGGCTCTGTTCCTCCTGGCCATTTCCGTAATGGTTTCTTGAAGGAACTTTGCTAGTTCCAACTTTGCAGCCATTTTCTTTCTCTGCTTCTCTTCCTTAGTAGTAGAAAGGAAAAGTTAATTCTTTATGTCTGCAACTGGGTAAAGGCAGGAGAAATAATTGTCACCTTATTATTGCTCATCCCTACAACACATACTGTATTGTTTGCAGATTTTAGTGAGTTTGTGAGAACCAAAAGAAACATAAAATAGATTCTATTTGAAACTCATTTTTGGGGCTGGGGATTTAGCTCAGCGGCATAAGTACCTGCCTTGCAAGCAGGCGGTCGTGAGTTCGATCCCCGGTACCGGAAAAAAGAAAAAGCAACTCATTTTCTTTTTTAATTTTGGAGAGAGGGTCTCACTAGGTAGCCCAAAATGGCTTTGAATTCACTACCTTAACCTCTCGAGTGCTGGGATTCCAGGCACGTGCCACCACACCCAGCTGAAACTCATTATTTCTAAGCTGAATTTATTCTCATTAATACAATAATCATAAGCACTGGCTAAATAAAAAATGTCACCTGAATGAGTGGCTTATCCATTACTTCGAAAGATCTAGCAACCTCATATAAACCATCTAGGCTGCCTCTTGACCAAATCCCTGGTCTAAGCACCCCATATTTTGCCTAACAAAGTAGGAAACCTGCTAGGGATGTGGCTCAGTGGTGGAGTTTCCCTAGCAAGCACAAAGCACTGGCTTCGATCTCTGTTGCTATAAAGTAGGAAATCAACTCCATGCTAAAGCAGCTGAGAGTTTAAGTAGAAAAAAGTCAAAATTGGGGCTGGGGATTTAGCTCAGCGGCATAAGCGCCTGCCTTGCAAGCAAGCAGTCGTGAGTTCGATCCCTGGTACCGATAAAAACGAAAAAGACAAAAAAAAGAAAGAAAGAAAGAGTCAAAATTGAATACAATACAGTAACTTAAGTGATATAACAGATATAAAAAAGCATTACACAGAAGAGAATGAAATGTTTACTCTCGAGTGACCAGTGGTTTTTTTTATCCTTGTGCATCATCAAAAATGCAGTTTGTGGCATTTTCAAAACAACCATGGTCATGATACTAGAGGGCAGACAGAAACAGGACACTGTCAGTCTATGTTTTAAGTTGTCTTCTCCTGCTGCTGATCCCCTTCTACTCCCAACTCCAAGCGCGAAGAGCCAATCAGTGGGGCCGCAATGTGTCATGCTGTCTTACATCATCATGCCAGGCTGTTACTCTTTTTATCCAGAGCACCTTTCACACACTGGTAAAATTCCATTCACTTTCTAAGTCTCGGTCCCAAAGTTGCCTCTTCCCTGAGACATTTTCCAGTCTTACTGCCTGAAAAGCTGTCCTGTTTGTACTCTACAGGCGTTGTAGTCAGACTGTAACAGTACTATCCAATAGAATGACACACAAGAGAAGGAAGGAAAATGCCTGTTTGCCAGCTTGCCCTCTTCACAGCGGCTACCCAGGTGCCCTCTTTTCAGGGACTGCGCACAAGTGCAGAAAGGGCTGTTTGGCCCAGTAAAGCACACCTACCGTCTAATTAGTCACCGCACTAACCATGTGCTTTGTTTTCTCTTGTTTTGTTTCATAGTTAAACTTGAGTGGAGAAGTTAGTCTTTTTCTTTTTTCTTTCTTTTTTTTTTTGATACTGGGCATTAAACTCATGACCTTGCGCTTGCCAGGCAGGCACTTATGCCGCTCAGCTAAATCCCTGGCAGTATTTTTCAATAAATGATGCTGGCAAAACTGGGTAGTCATGTGCCAAAAAAATTTAGACTCTGACATTACACCTTTCACAAAACTCTAAATAGATCATAAGCCTAACTGTAAACTGTAAAACTCCTAGAAGAAAACAGGAAAAAAGGGAAAGTGACTTTGGATTTGACAACATTTTAGCTGCAATGCCTAAAGCTCAAGGATGAGAGAAAAAAAATTGCATAGTTGGGTTTCATTACAAGTGTTTGCTCTGTGAAAGACACTCCTTCGTGAATGAAAAGATAAGTCATAAACTAAGAGAGAAATTTGCAAAATATATCTGATAAATGAGTTTTATCCAACCTACACAAAAAACACCCTCAAAATAATAAAACAAACCACTCAGCTAAAGAAATTTGAACAGATACCTTCCCAAAGAAAACATAAGATGACAAATAAGCATGTGAAAAGATGCTAAACATTATATACCATCTGGTAATTGCAAATTAAAACAAGGCCATACCGGGGCTGGGGATTTAGCTCAGCAGCATAAGTACCTGCCTTGCAAGCAGGTGGCCGTGAGTTCAATCCTCGGTACCAGAAAAAAAGAAAAAGAAAAAAACAGGGCCATACCAGGACACACTTATTAGGGTGGCTAATCGGCAGACTACTGGCAAATTAATTTCTAGGGAGGATGTGGAACAAGAGGAATGCATTCATTGCTGGTGGGAATGAAGAATGGCAGAGCCACTTTGGAAGAGAGATTAGCAATTTCTGTTTTGTTTTGTTTTTTAAGATCCAGCAATCATGGGGCTGGGGATTTAGCTCAGCGGCATAAGTGCCTGCCTTGCAAGCAGGCAGTCATGAGTTCGATCCCTGATACTGATAAAAATGAAAAAGACCAAAAAAAAAAAAAAAAAAAAAAAAGATCCAGCAATCACAATTCTCACTATTTATTTGTTGAGGTAAAAATATTCATTTGAAAAGAAACCTGTCCACACATACATGTTTACAGCAGATTCATTCACAGTGTAATTGCTAAAACTCAGAAGCACCCACATGCAGTGGTGCATGCCTGGAATCCCAGCATTCAGGAAGAGACCGAGGCAGGAGGATTGTCATGAGTCTGAAGCCAGGCTGAGCTACAAAGCAAGTTCAAGGCCAGCCTGAACTGCAGAGTCAGGCCCTGTCTCAAAAAGACCAAAAACAAAGAAAAAAAAAAAAACACAAACAAACCAAAGCAAAATAAAAAACTTGGAAGTAACCAACACACTATACATTTAGTGGATGATGGGTAAATAAACCATGGTACCTCCCGACAACAGAACTTAACCTTGGCCTTGTCCATTACCTTGCTGGTGCCCCAAGATCATAATCGTTAGCAGTCCCAGAGTCTATGTCCATTTACCTCTAGTGACACTTTCTGGCCATTGTGCATCTGCAGGGCCTGCCTGACCAGTGAGCAGTGGTGTTTACCTGGGCAGTGAGGCCACGCAACTCTGCAGTCCTGTACTGCTGCTTCGTCTCCTTCCAGGTCTCCACAGCTGCTGGCAGCTGCTGCCCTCGCCTTCCAGCCTTTTTCTCCTCCCCATGGGCTTTTACCTTGCCTCCTCCTAAGCTCAGCAGTGTCTTATGGTCTCAGCAATGTTAAACATGGTCTACCGTGGGGTCTAACAGTCACTTGTATGAATTGCAAGCTCACCTCCACAGGAAAGCCTGAAGACCTTTATAGCAGTTTTATTGAAAAGTGCCCAAAATTGAAAGCAACCCATTTTCCAAAGGTAAATGAAGAAACAAGCTGTGGTATGGTACATCTGTGCATACAATTATTATTTAGTAGTTTAAATATATACGCAAAGACTGGGAGAAGCTTTATTGATAAATGAAAGAAGCCAGTGTGAGAACACCACATAGGTATGATTCCAACTCTATGACATTCTAGAAAAGGCGAAACTGGTTACCAGTAAAAAGAAGAGCACCTGTCATGGTTGAGGAGCAAAACAGAAGCACAAACAGGCAGAGCACAGAGACAAACTTCTCTGTATGAGACTCATGAGGCAGACCCACATTGTTTTACCTTACACAACCACAAAGAATGAGCCCCAATGTCAAGGGTGAGCTGAAAATAATATTGCTTTCTTAGTGGTAACAAATGTACCATACTGATGCAAAATGTTAATCACAGAGGAAATTGGGTGTGGGGGATAGGATTGGTACATGAGAACTCTATATTTTCTGCTTAAAAGTTTCTGTGAATTTAAAATTGGACTGAAAAAGAATGTCTATTAACTTAAAAAAAATTTTTTTTTAAATTCTGCATACCTTTTTGGATTCACTTTCAAAAGTTGATGGCAACATATCTGGGAAGAGTTTCAGAAACACTGGTATCAAGAATTCCATGAAGGGTACGATTATGAATATCATGAATGGAACCAAACGGAAGAAATCAACACAGGTTCTCAATAGCTGAATTAAATGCATAAACAATAATTATTTTAAGACACACAAGAACAAACAAAGAAACAAAAAAAATGCCTGCCTTGGTTCTTAAAATGTCTAAACCCAAAATTGGTTTATAAAATGAAAAGATGGGGTTTTTCTCATCACCATGTCTCTGAAGCACTATTTGTGGGGTATTTTCAAAGAAATCTATGACAGTAAAAATACACTAGCATCTCTTAGCATCCATTTGAATGAAGAGCCCACTTAAATACCAGAGTATGAAACGGTCTCACTATGTTGCCCATGCTGGTCCCAAACACCTGCACTCACCTGATGGTACGGCCTCCGCCTGCTTATAACACCATGGACGATACGTGCATGCACTCTATCTGGCTTTCAAAACTGCTCTTGTGGTTGTTTGTTTTGTGGGGGTTTTGTTCTTGTTTTTGTTGTTTTTGACACAGGATTTTACTACCCAGTTCATGCTGGCCTTGAACTCACTTTGTAGCCCAGGTCAAACTTGTAGCAATCTTCCTGCCTCAGTTTCCCAAGTGCTAGGATTATAGGCATGTACCACCATGCCTGGCTAAAAATTGCTTTTTAAAAAACACATATGGGCTACAGATATAGCTGAGTGCCTGCCTGGCAACTGCAAGGTCATTAGTTCAATCCCTGGTACCAAAAACAAAAAACATAAGCAACAGCTTTGTATTTCTGATGCACATTAAATACGAAGCCTCTCAACTCCTTGGAAAGACTTAAAATACACAATTGCTGGGCCTGGTGGTACATTCCTATAATCCCAGCATTCAGGAGGCTGAAACAAGAGAATGACCACAAATCAAGGTCAGTATAGACGACATAGTGAATTCAAATCCAGTGTGAACTATACAGCAAAACTCTGTCTCTCTCTGTATATATACATGTATATTCTCTCTCTATATATATGACCAGTCTATAGGTAATAAGAATTGTTCTTGAGAGTCTCGGTATTGCTGTATAGAACTCAGCATGAACAAGGCCCATGTTCATCAGCATGACACAAAATAAAACACAAAACAAAGAAACCTTCTGGTCCTCACCAGTAGCTACTACAGGGCAGCAGACTGCTGAAAATCAAATGCATGGCCTTGAGTAAACTGGGAAAGGTGTACCTTATTATTATTTTTCAGTCCAGGGTATTGAACACAGGGATTTGTGGATGATAGGCAAGCACTCTACCATTCAGCTACTTCCCCAGCTTTATTTTTACTCTGGAGCAGGACTTTCCTAAATAGCCCAGGCTGGCTTCTGCTTTGCAATCCGCCTGCCTCAGCCTCTGGAATAGCTAGGTATGTGCCACCATTGGTGTTTTTTTGTTTTTTAAAGACAAACATGGAGTTTAAACCTTGGTTACCACGTTTATTTTTATTCATCTATTTATTTTGAGATAAGGTCTTGCAACTTAGTCCAGGCTGGACTTAAATTCTCTATGTAGCTCAGGCTGCTCTTGAACTCATGTTCTTCCTGCCTCTGCCTCCCAAGTGCTCTGATTACAGACAGAAGCCACCACATCCAGCTTCCCAGAGAGTGCATCTTTAATTTCATTCTCACCTACCCTTCGCCTCTCTCTCCGGGTCAGTACCTGCCCATGCAGCAGCCTCCAAACCATCCTGGCAGCAACTTTGGTGTCATTCCAAAGTAAGTAGAATCCATTGTAATAATATTTAAATTCAGCCACAATTTTTTGTCTATAAGATTGCTTTCCTTCTTTAATCTTTGTTCCAGTGTCTTCCGCAGGCTGTGGACTTGTCCCCTTGGGTTTTCCTGGGTTTTGCTCTGGCTGAGGTTCCCCAGAGCCCTGCTGTAACCAGCTAGCTGACGTGTGAAGCTTTTGCCCGAGTCTAGTTCCCGCACAAACTGCTGCTGTGCCTGACTGACTGGGGTGATAGTGCTCCTCACTTCTGCAGCTCTTCATGTACATCTTTTTTAAGTACGAATCTGGCAAGTGAAGAAGCACAAGCGATGGGGAAGGAGAAGGGCAGCCGGGCTGGACCAAATGGCTAAGGAACCTGGAAAAAAGGGCAAAGTCCTCAGAGTTGAACATGTGCTGCTACAGATTTAAAAACAAAGAAACAGAGATTTGGTCCAGTAAAAGAAAAGCATCTTTTTTTGGATTCCTTAATGAACAAATACACACACACACACACACACACACACTCACACACACATTATATATATATATATATATATATATATATATAAATTTTGGGAGGTAGTGTTGGGGATTGAACCCAGGCCCTTATATATGCTAAGCACTGAGCTACATTCCCAATCTCAAATATAACCATTGAAAAACAGGTATGTTGGGGGCTGGGGATATAGCTCAGCGGCATAAGCGCCTGCCTTGCAAGCAGGTATGTTCTATGGTTGAAGCTACTCTATATAAGATGCTACTTTTTTTTTTCTTGAGACAGGGTCTCACTATGTAACCCAGGCTGGCCTCAAACTTATGGTGACCCTCCTGCCTCAGCCTCCCAAGTGCTGGGATTATAGGCATCTACCACCACGTCTAGCACATATTACTTTTTTTTTTTTTTTTTTTTGGTGCCAAGAATTGAGCTCATGACCTTGCCCTTGCTAAGCAGGCATTTTTGTCCCACTGAGCTACACCCATGGTCCACATTAATTCTTAAGAATAAAGTGCTATATTAGAAGTCAGATATTATCCAGTCATCAATTTTTTTCCTGGCTGTTAATTTTATTTTATTTATTTTTTGGAGGGAGTGGGTATCAGGGATGGAACTCATGACCTGATGCTTGCCAGGCAGGCACTTGTGCCACTAAGCTAAACCCCTGGCCCTCCAAGTGTTAATTTTAAAACCTTGCAAACATCTTTCTGCTAGAGATTATAGCATTAACTCCATCAACTATGATAAAATAGGTGGCAGAATTGTGTCTACAGCACTCTACTGATTATATGAATGTTTTGATGAAACAAATGTTTCATTTGTTTGGTCCTGTGGAGAGTAACCAATCACATAATACTGTTTTGTCTGTGTAATGTCTACATATAGACTCTTTCTCAGAAATAACCAGCCATGGTGATATATATATCTACAATTGCAGCACTCAGGAGGCTGAGGCAGGAGGATTGCTATAAGTTTGAGGCCAGCCTGGGCAAGAGTGACTTCAAGGCCAAGCTGAACTTCATAGTGAGATTCTGTCCAAAAAAACCAGAACAAAAACAAAGAGAAAAGTAAAAACAAAAACAAAATCACATGAGGAGAACTTGCAGTCAAAATGTTTCCCCGAAAGGATTCGAGCAAAGATGGTGGACAGATAACAGCTGGCTACCGAGGCTCCCTGAGATAGTCAACTTAGAATTCAACATAATACAGAGTGGGGAGCCTCGAACAAGGGGAGATGAATTCTCTCATCCCAAGAAGAAACTAAGGTGAGAAGAACCAATCAAACATACAGTCCCTGTGCTATTATTCAAACAGCTAAAGGTTCAGTGCTCCTGCCACAGCGAGAGACTTGCCAAGCTGTCCAAAGTTCCGCCGCTTCGACTCACTGGAGGTGCAGTCACACTGAGGTCAGGGGCTGGCCAGCTGAACAGAGAGCTGAGCTGGTGGGGAGCCTGCATTGACCTGTGGTGAGTGACAGGGGTGGAGCCATTCCACAGAAAGGGGGGCTCCGGCAGAAGACATTCAGGACTGGCAAGTACAAGGGGCAGCAGCGATTCCAGTCAGTTTTTTCCTTCCCAAACAGGATTGGTAGACTGAGCTAGGCCTGGCTGAGACCCAATAGGTTATCTGAAATCAATTCCCTCTGGCGGCAGCGCACACTACTGCAGTGAAGACCTCAGAAGTTTGACTGATCTGGAGGGGAGGGGCCAGCATAGGCTGTCCCTGTTTGCAACCCACTAGCACACTGCAGTGGGAATGATCACCTCGCCGGCATGCTTCAGAAGAATTGTAACCAACAAAGAAAGAAACTGGGGCCTCCTGGAAGAAACAAAAAAGATGGGAAGAGGAAGCAATGACAAAAAGTCCCCAGGTCCCAACCCTGAGAACATTGACCCAGGACAGGTAAACACAAAGGAGAATGAGAACAGCAAACATAATATCAGATGCGGCACCAGTGGACATAAAGACATACCTTCAGGACCTCATAGGCGAGTTCAAAAGTGAAATATTTAGCCAACTAAAGCAAGATATAAGAAGATTAATAGGAGCTGGAGATTTAGCTCAGCGGCATAAGCGCCTGCCTTGCAAGCAGATAGTCGTGAGTTCGATCCCTGGTACCAACAAAAACGAAAAAGACGAAAAAAAAAAAAAAGAAGACTAATAAAAGAGATGCTAAGCACCCCTCAAGCAGACACATATGGAAGAAGGGAGGAACTGAAACAAAGGAGAGAACCATTTGATGAAGAATATAAAGAAAATATAGAATACACGAAGCAGATTCAAAGGGATTACCAGGAAATTAAAAACTCTATGGAAAGATGGCAAATCTGCTTGAAAGAAACTAAGGATAGATTATTCATACTGGAGGACAGTTTTGCAATGTGGGATTATGAAAGGAAAAACTTTTAAAAATAACAAGGAAACAAACAGTAACAATACAAAGGCTAGAAGATGACACGAGGATCTATAACTTGAGAATAAAGAATGTGAATAAAGCAGCAGGGGTACAAACAAAGGAACTACAAAGGCTATTCACAGAAAAAATTAAGGAGGTTGGTCTGATGGCAGTGGGTTATCAGAACTTATTAACATTAGTGTCACTAAAGTTGGTATACCACCCCCCCACTGCTAAATTTGACTGGCTTTAAAAAAATTTAAAAAAATAAAAAAGATAAAAGAGAAATAATGAAGGAAAACTTCCCAAACATAGGAAAAGGAAATGATATTCAGATGTATGAGGCATACAGAATTCCAGCCACCTACAACCAAAACAGAGCTACACCCAGGCATATAATAATCAAGATCCCAGAAATTCAATATAAGAACAGAATATTAAAAGCTGTTAGAGACAAGAAACAGATCACCTAAAAGGAAGGCCCATCAGAATAATGGCAGACTTCTCAACACAAAGCATTAAGTCAAGAAAAACCTGGAGCAAAATATTCCAAGCCCTGAAAGAAAATAACCTCCAGCCCAGATTGATATATCCTGCTAAACTGTCTCTAGAAATTAATGGAGAAACAAGACTCTTCCAAGACAAAGGGGAACTTGGGAAATTCGCAACCACCAATCCAGCTCTACTGAGAATACTGCAGGGCATTCTAGAGAGAGAGAAAAGCACTAGGATTCCAGGAACAGTGGCAGAGAGGCCTCAATGAATGGAGCAGAAAACAAAATGAAGAACATAAGAAGACAATGATGGCAAAAAAAGAGCATAACAGAAATGAGGTAGAGAAGGTTGATTATAATCTCTAGTATAGATGGCCTTGACACACTAAATTAAAAAAAAAGAACCACATGTGGAGTAGATTAGGAAGTAGGGTCCACCAAGATGCTCTTTACAGGAAATATAATTAACATGAAAAAGAGTACATGGACTGAAAATCAAATATGAGAAAACAATGCTCTATGTGACAGAGAACCAGAGAGCAATAGAGACAACTAGACCAGTATCTGTGGGTAGGTTGGAAAGACAGGCTTTAATAGGTAAAGGAATACAATTAGAGATCAAGTCCAAGAGAGAGAAGATTTGGAACCCCTTAGGTAAATAGCAGGTTGCCCCCCCCAATTTAATACCAAGGGTCTTGGTGAGACCCAAAAATGCACGGTGTACCCTGGGGAAGTGAAAGGGGAGGGAGAGTCTTAAAAAAGATGACAGAAGATATTGTTAATAGTGTACTGGGATTTAAAACCCACATTACTTGCACCACTCTGCTTACATTTTATTCTGTTCCAGTTTGTCTACTTGCATTAGATTTGAGGGCACAGACAGCTATCCCCAAAACATCAGGATATAGCACAGTAATCATCTTTAATTTCTTATTATCTTAATCTGGAACCCTGTATGACTTATACTGTTTTATCATGACTGATCTAGTTAAATTGGTTTGTCTGACTGCTGTTTGGTATCGACAGATTTTATTCAAAACTGGTATGATTGATAGTATCAAGTCTGAGAGTATAGGCAACTACACTAAAGATGATACTCTACAATACATATTCTGGTTTGATAACTGCCTGTTTTTGAAGTTTTATACTATACACAAAGTTTTTATTAATACTGTTATGTACTTATATATTCAATTATACTATTTCTGATGATATAGCCAATTCTATTGAAGATAACAAGAGACAACACAGGAACTTTGGTAGAACTCCTTGTACAACGGTCTTATATATCTTTTTTGTTTCATGTGTTAGGAATATGTTTTGTTTTGTCTTGCTTTGTTTTGTTTCTCCCTCTAATATAGAAAGGATAGAAATACATGTTAAGACTCATGCATGAGTAGAATCTATAAACAGTTTATGAAAACTGATCTTATAACACATGATGAAAACAGATACTCTGAAGAAAAAGAGACACTAAAGTACCCAGTGCTGATCCTGGAGTGTCATAATGTGAAACCCAGCAATAGTATTATTCTTTGTTCAGAGTGATATTAGCCTGCTTGGGTTTATTCAATCTCAACATAATTGAAGATAGGGATAACTGCATGTATGTTTAAGTGTATAGGATTGATAACCATATTTCTAAGTTTTTGTTGGATAGTTGAACAGAACTGGTTGCAATCTCACTGTTTGAATCCCCACTTTATATGCTTCACTTTAATATCTTGAATAACTATTTGTAAGAAGACAATCTGTAATCATCAACTAGTGATTTCTTACTATTTTTTCTTTGAAGTTATGTATTATTTCTACCCATTTTTTGTTTTGTTTAGTCTTTCTTTAAATTTTTAAAAAAAGACACTACAGTACCCAGTGCTGATCATGGAGTGTTATGATGTGAAATCCAGCAATACTATTATTCTTTGTTCAGAATGATTTTAACCTGCTTAAGTTTGTTTAATCTAAACATAAATGAAGATATGGATAACTGCATGTATGTTTAGTTGTATAGGATTGGCAACTATGTTACTAAGTTTTTGTTGTGTAGTTGAACAGAACTGTTTGCAGTCTCGCTGTTTGAATTCCCACTTTACCGTGTTCCATTTTTGTATCTTGAACAACTATTTGTAAAATGACAATATGTAAACATCAACTAGTGATTTCTTACTGTTTATTTTTTCTCTGAACGTATGTATTATTTCTACCTATTTTCTGTTTTGTTTAGTCTTTCTTTAAATAAAATTTAAACAAAAAACAAAACAAAAACTTTAAGGAACTTGTCCAAATTCACACATTTAAGAAGTAGTGGAGCTGAGTTCTGCAAAGGTCGGCCTGCTTGCCTGCAAAATCATGTATGATTTAAATGATTTCCTTTTCATAACCCAGTTGGCAGAAAAATTTAAAAATACAAAAAGAAAGAATAAAATAAATATTTGTAGTCAGGTGCGATGGCTCACTCCCAGCACTCGGAAGACTGAGGCAGGAGGATCCCTGTGAGCTCAAGGCTAGCTTGAACTGCATAGTGAGACCCGGTCTCAAAAAAAAAGTATTTGTAATCCAGTCCAAAGACATTCACCCTTACAGTTTGTTGTATGTATACCCGGGCATTTTCCATGCAGACATCGTTCGCGGGTGACTGGACTTACTGTGCTTGGTCTGTATCTACCTCAGCGGACAGCAACCTTTCCAAGCTGTCCCGCAGCAGAACCCAGTCTGGCACCAGGAGCTGCCACCTGGGGTGGCGTGGGCGACACACGTGTGGAAACTTGGAGATCGCCTGCGTCCAAGTAGCAGATTTAACTGCGTCCCGCCCCTCTGAGCCAGCAGCCTCTCCTCTTCTCCAGGAAGCTCTGCCTGCTGCGCCCCGCACTCTTTCCCTCCCCAACGCACACCAAAATAAAAGCACTATTTGGCCTAAAAGGAGAATGTACAATGAATCTGGCAGAGTAAGTCCTCAGTGAATAGTCTTCTGAATATATAAAGAAGTGTTAATAGACCTTAATGGGACAGGAATATGCTCTAGGACTGGCTCGGTCACTAGCCATTTTACTTCTAAGGGCCTCATACGACATTCATCGGTGTCACTCTAAAAATCTTCTATCCCATCTGTACCACATATCTAGAAAATTATTCAACCTGAATTCTAAAACATATAGGAGCCAGGGGTGGTGGCACACACCTGTAGTCCCAGCACTTGGGAGGCTGAGGCAGGTGGATCATTGAGAGTTCAAGACCAGCCTGGGCTACGAAGTGAGCTCATGGCCAGCCTGAACTACATAGCGAGATCCTGTCTCAAAAAGGATAAATAAACAAAAAATAAAGCATATAGGGAATTTTAGGCAATTTTAAATACAGTCAAATATTAGCTTCCTAATATAGTTAAAACCAGCAAAGTTTTTTTTTTTTTTTTTTGTCTTTTTCTTTTTTATCGGTACTGGGGATCGAACTCATGACTGCCTGCTTTACAAGGCAGGCGCTTATGCCACTGAGCTAAATCCCCAGCCCCCAACCAGCAAAGTTTTAAGCAGATTCTAAGCCTATATATATATATATAATATATACTTATATATATATTATATATATATAAAATATATATTTATATATATATATTATATATATATATATATATATATATATATATATATATTCCTTCAGGAAAAATGAGGTTCATATATATATGAGGTCACTTACCTTGTGCGGGCTATTGCCAAGACTGAATTACAACTGTAGAAGGTCATATTTAATTTTGTCTTAACTAATCAACGTAGAGACCTAGGCAAAAAAATAAACAATTTAGTATTTTAAAAAATCAGTTAAAAGATCAGGATTTAACTACCTAACAGGTGGAAAACTTTGAATATTCAAAGTGCACAATCTCATGAAAAATTTTCAACAATCATAAATAATATTTTCTTACCTCTGGATTTGGGAATGGTACTTGGGGATTCCAACACATAGAAATGATCCATAAGATAATGATGTTCATGATGATAACATGGTTTCCAAAGACATTTTTATTTCTGATTCACAGTATGTAGTAATCTAACTTGAACAGTTGCCCAATATTTAGGAGGATAAGAAAGATACTCCTACCTGTTTCCTAAAAATATAAGTAGAAAACAAATATCTTGGATTTGTTTTTAGTTAGCTTTTTCCGTACTTGGCCAAACTACCACAAATCCTAAAATCTGAAGGTACTTAACTGATCTCATTTATGGTGCAATAAAGATACATGGTGCCTACTAATGGTTGGAGTACACAGGTAAGAGTTTCTAGCCGGGCATGGTGGCTCATGCCTGTAATCCCAGCACTTGGGAGGCTGAGGTGGGAGGATCGTTGCGAGTTCGAGACCAGCCTGGGTTACAAAGCGAGTTCAAGGCCAGCCTGAACTGCACAGCGAGACCCTGTCTCAAAAAAAAAAAAAAAAAAGAATTTTTAGGGCTAGCAACCAGAGCCTCAACTAAGGTTGCTCTAATACACACACACACACACACACACACACACATATATTTTGTTTGTTTGTTTGTTTTGTTTTTTCCTCTCTCTATGTCGTTCAGGTTGGTCTTAAACTCGCTACATTGCCCAGACTGGCCAGGAACTCACAGCGATCCTCCTCCTATCTCAACTCCCCATAGACTGGGATTCGAGGCGTGTGACACCACACCCATCTCTGTACATTTAAATACGCTTACTCAAACCGTGAGTAGTGGTGAAGGCCTATAAATCCCAGTACTGTGTGAGGCTAAGGCCCAACGACGATGAATTCCAACTCAGCCTAGGCAAATTAGAAATGTAGCTAGACTCTCTATGAAAAATAAGACAAACCAAAATAAAAAAAGCTGGGGATGTAGACCCACTGCAAAGGTTCAATCTCTGGCGCTCTCGGTTAGGGGCGGCGAGGAGCCTTAGCACTGGGTCTCGAGGCTCACAGGAGATCGGGAGCTTCTTGGCTGCAAACTCTGCCACTGAACTAAGGCTCTGCACGGCGCTTCGCTGGGGGAGCCCGGATCTGCGCGGCGGCGATTCTGCTCTAGGCCCGGCTTCCAGGTCACCTCTGCCGGCGGATGGTCACCACGCGGAGGTCGAGCTCGCCCTCGCTCCTCGGCCAGCGGCTTTGGCGCGCGTGGGGTGGGACGGGCCGCTGTGGCGGGGGCTCCCAGGTTTTGTTGGGGAGGAGAATGCGGGATGGGACCGGAACAGGCACCGTGACCCTATGCTGGGATCCGGGGTGTTGGGAATGAAGAGGAGCAGGAGTGCGCAGGCCGTGGGACGGAAATTAGAGGCGAAGCGCGGGAGGAGGAGGGATGGACTCTAAGCTTCCGAGTTGAGGGGCCGAGCGTGGGGTGAATCGAGGGATGAGGAGAGCGCGGTGAGCACTGGAAGCCGCCAGGCTATAGTGGGCGCTGCCGGGAGGAACTGGAAGCTGAGGGAGCGGATCCCGAAGACGACAACAAAGGCGCGGACCATCCCGTAACAGCCGACGACTTGGGGCCCCCGGAACGGCCGCCGCGGGCCCCCCACTTCCTTTCCGATTCGGCTTGCACCCACAACCTAAGACTACCCGAGGCCAAGTCTCTATGGCTCCTCCTCTCGTCCCCCCTCTCGTGATGTCACTGAGTGATGACCCTACCAGCCAATGAGCTCTCAAAATCTTCGAAGGGCGGGCATCATTTACCTTACCATCCCTGGAGGCTCCGCGGTCTCCTTCCCACCGGCAAAAGACTAGTGTGCTGAGTTTATTTCAAGCGTTGATGCTGGAAACTTTAAGTCAGGTGTCTCACTAACATCAGTACACCGTAGTCTGTGGCTAACTCCCTGGTGGGAAACCCGTAAGTGAAAGCCTTTTACCCAAGAGTAATACGTCTGATAGTCGTCATGGAAACCATCTTGAAGTCACCAATGACATCACTTTGATGTAGTCGCCTTCCAGCACCCCACTTTGAAAACATCGAGGGGGACCCAACAGGGTAGGAGAAAGGGCGGAAATAGAAAGGAAAAGGTTCCTCTTCCTTCTCCAGGGCCCGAGGCTGGAATGCCGTGAAATCTTTATATGGAAATTACACAAAGGAACTGAGCTTTGTAGATGTTTTCTTTACATGTGTATGAACAGTAGTTTGCGTGGAAATCTCAACATTTAAATTGCATATTAGAGGGGCTAAAGGTTTAGCTCTGCGGCAAGTGTGAGGTCATGAGTTCAATCTCAGGTACCAATAAATAGAGGAGCCGTCACGTGACATAGAAATAGTGCCGGGTGGTGACCAGCCTCAAGCAGAGGTAACCCGGGCACGCGGCCACCTGGGCGATGACAGGGTTTGTCTCCCTGCTGCAGTGCCCGCGTCTTCATATAGGAACACTTCGTTTCCTAGGATGAGCAACTGAGCCATTTTGGGAAAGTGAAAAATCTAGAAATGTGAAAAAGTGAAAAATCTAAAAATCCACAACGCATTTTTCAGGTAACAACCAAGTGGATCAACTATATAAACTAGGCAAAACTTTTCAGTTCGGCCACTAGAGGTCCCTTTGTGCATATCTAACGGGTTTCCCGCGGACTCTGTGTTTACTAAATGAAAATCTGTGAGACTTTCCTCTTTACCTTTTCCTTCATGAAAATGCCCCATGGTAAATTTTTGAGCTTTAAAAGACACATATAATTTTAATATTGATTACATAAGTGAAACATTGCACTACCATGTACATGTATTTTTTCTGGGAAAGATCATAAAAAGGATGTCAAAAATGCTCAGTTCACTGGGAGACATTTTTTACCAGGAAATGTTTTTATTCATGCATTGTATTCACTTACAACCAGTCACAGAGACAGTCATTAAGTATTTATGGGTCAAATGAAGGACTCCATGCCAGTATTTGAGATGAGCAAGGTTTCCTTCTATTGTCATGTGCCAGCAATTCTAGTTTTCAAAGGGAAGGGTTAAGAAACCTTAGTAAAAGCCACGTGTTCACAAGCAATGTTTGTCTTCTCCTATAATCAGGCTTCACAATTGCTTTGACTTTCATGATAGGACTTGATAAAAAGAATTGTATATAACCTGCAGAAGAGAACCCGACCCCCTCGGGCTTTTTTCTTCCTAACTCTGAGAATTCTGTTAGGTGAACTGTTTGTTCATTTTCTATGGCAAGGAATAAGCATGTTCCCAGGCTCAGAAGATACCAGATTCTGAAATTACTAATTCTATGTTAGATGTAAATTATTCTTAGTGCTCATTTCCTTAGATAATGCTCAACTCAAATATTAACAGTATTCTCTAATATTTTGCAGGAAGCCAATTTTAAACTTTTGTCGGGCTGGGGATTTAACTCAGTGGCATAAGCACCTGCCTGGCAAATGAGAGGTTGTGAGTTCAATTCTGACAAAAAGAAAAATTTTTGTCAGCATAGCTATTAGAAGCAGGCTAAAATCAAATCCCAGGGGACAATTTACTAGATTCCCAAGGGGAAAATCCAGGTGCTTAGCCAAGGTTAACAGTTTATCAAGGTTCCAGGATGGTGGGAAAAGGATTAGGGTAGGAAAAAACCATAGGAAAAAATATGGTTATTTTTAATATTTTTAATTTATTGTTATTTTTTGGAGACAGGGTCTTCTGTGTAATTCAGGCTGGCCTTGAATTTGTGGCAATTCTTCTATCTTAGCCTCCCATGTGCTGGCACTATAGGTGTACCCACCATGCCCACAAAAATATTTAACTCCTCTTTGTTGGACATAGAATCAAACTAGGCTTAGTTGAGCCCTCATTTTTGGTATGAATCAAACTCAGGATCTTTTTTTTTTTATTTATTTTTATTTTTTTTTAAAGCCAGTCAAATTTAGCAGTGGGGGGGTGGTATACCAACTTTAGTGACACTAATGTTAATAAGTTCTGATAACCCACTGCCATCGGACCAGCCATCCACTGCCATCGGACCAGCCCAAACTCAGGATCTTGCACTTGCCAGGCAGGTGCCTGTGCTGCTGAGCTATGTCCTACACCATCTGTTTTAAAAAGATATATTTATAATAAAAGTGTGCTTTCAATACATCTTTAATTTTTGATACTACATAAAGCTCTGGTTTAAAAAGTTTAAAAGCAAGGTGAGGTGGTAGGGCGTGCCTTCTGGTCTTGCCTGCCTAGGAGACTGATGCAAGAGGAAAAGATTAGCCTGCGCAAGACAGTGAGATGAGACTGCTTCTCAAAATAAACGCATAAAGCTAAATAAAAATATGTTAATAGGGCTGGGGATATAGCTCAGCAGCACAACACCTGCCTGGCAAGCACAAGGCCCTGAGTTCAATCCCCAGTACCAATACATACACATACACACACACACACACACACACACACACACACACACACACACACACGTTAATAGTAATGGAACCACTTTCAACGTCACTCTTAGGACTTAACAGGGTTTGCACAGTAACACAGTTGGGTAAACAGGGGCCACATTATTTTTTTCTTTTTATCGGTACCGGGGATCGAACTCACAACCCCCTGCTTGCAAGGCAGGTACTTATGCCGCTGAGCTAAATCCCCAGTCCCCAGGGGCCACATTTTTCTCTGTATGTGATTTAAATTTTCTATTCAACTATTCACATACGTTGAAGAGTGACAAATTGAAAGGCCAGCCTACGCACCAGGAACTCTAGCTACAGGGCTGGACTTGCTGTGTATTCCAGGTTGTCCTTGAACCCACTATGTAGCCCAGGCAGGCCTCCAAGTCGCAGAAATCCTCCTACTTCAGCCTCCTGGGTGCTGGGATTACAAGCGTACACCATTATGCTGGGATTTACCTTTAACATTAACACGGTTTTGTTAAGAAACTAATACACGATTAGTGCCCATTAAAATCACTGATCCACACAAATTCAGGCCTAACCTGGGCAATTCAGTGATTTACTTTTTGGGTAATGGGAATCAGACTCGGGACTTTACCCTTGCCAGGCAGCCACTACACCAGTAAGCTAAATCCCCAGCCGCTGTTAGTGACTTAGCAATATCCTATTTAAAAAAAAAAAAAAAAAAATGGAGCTGGGGATTTAGCTCAGCGGCATAAGCACCTGCCTTGCAAGCAGGTGGTTGTGAGTTCGATCCCCGGTACCGATAAAAAAGGAAAAAAAAAAAAAAAAGTTGGATCTGTAGCTTAGTGTGAAAGCGTTGACTGATCTCATAATCTTTAAATTTCCTGAATGGTATTTTAAGATAAAGCTATCAGGAATTTCTTGTAATGGTATCCAGCAGACCGCGCCATCATGTCTAACTAGAATATGATTTCTAGTAGTGATATGGTTTTGAATTCTCAGAACGGAGAGCAGAGCACACACTGGTTTCCTCGTCTGCCTCCTGCCTGCTTTCTCCTTACGTTCACGTCTGCGCCGCAACGCTGTCATTGCTGCCGGGCCCCAGGAAAAACCCGGACATCTGCACGCCCCCGCAGGTCTCCTTCGCCCAGGCCCTCCTGGCCTTGGGACCTTCCACTGCTTTCCCTGTTTCCCAGTTCATGGAAGGCAGGGACTTAGCGCGCGGCCTCCCGTTTCCCTGCTCCTTGGGCGCGCCAGGAGGACAGAAGCACCCGTGCCTCTCGCTGAGAAGCTCCGGCGGGAGCAGCTGAGAGGCACGTGACTGCGCCCAGCCCCGGCCCGGCGGCCTGGCGGCCCGGCGGCAGCGGCGCCGACGTGCTCGGCGCTACCCACAAGGCCCCGGGTCGCCGGCCGAGCAGGAAGAGCGCGGGGGCTTGCTCTGCGTGGAGGACACCGCCGGCCTCCCAGGCAGTGCGCGGGGCCCCGAGGCCCGCGGCAGGCCTGCCCGGGAGGCTGTCTCCACTCCCGGCCCGGGAGCGAGCACCGAGCTGCCGCCCCGGGTTCACACGCAGGCTGTTCGACAGGAGCCTTCTCTGACAGCTGTCGGGCGGAGACAGCGCGGAACAGAGGCTCCGGGGGAGCCCGCCCCTGGCCAGCCTTCCCGACCCGGCGCCCGCGTGTCGTTCCTCCGGCCACCTCGGGAGCGCGCGGCAGTTCCGCTCTGAGGAGCTCCGCGCGGCGTCTAAGACGCGCTGTTTCTCCTCAGATGAAGGACACGCACGAGCCGTGTCTCGCCTCGCAGGCCCCGCCCCGCAGCCCCGCCCGCCCTCCGTCGGGTTTTGTTTTCGTTTCGTCCCTTCAGTCCCTTCCTGGCCAGGTCTCTGGCGGTCTCCGTCCGTTCCGGACGCGCTCGCACTGCAGCCTTCCCGCCCTCCCTCGCCCCGAGGCCCGAGCCCGGACTGCATTTCCCGGCAGCCGTCGCGGCCCGCGCCCAATGAGGGGCTGAGGATTTGGCGGCGGCGTCCGAGAGCCGGGCGGGGGGACTTTGTGCGCGGCGGCGGCGGCGGCGGCGGCGGCGGCGGCAGCGGGAGCGGCGGCCAGCGCGGAGGCGGGGGTGGAGGCCGAGGCCGGGGCTGTGCTCGGGTGCAGCAGAGGGCGCGCGGAGCCGAGCGACCCCAGCACCCCGCTGCCGCGCCGGGCCGTCACCTCAGGCTCCGCCCGGGCTCCGGCGGCGGCGCGGCGGCCCTAGTCCCGCCGTCCGGCCTCCCACACTACCTCCGTAGCAGCTTCTTTCCTACCGCAGCGCGTCCGGCCGGGCTCGGCCGTGGCCCTCCTCCGTGCCGGCCGCCATGGCAGGGGCGCCCCGCGCGGGAGAAATCTAGTCCCGGGCTTTGATGCGGCCTAGTTTGGGTCTGTCTCCCCCCGCCGTGGCTGCGGCGCCGGCCCGTACACCAGCCCCAGTCCGGGCCTCCGTGTCTCTCCTGTGATCGCGCTGACACGGCCCGGGGGTTAGAATGGAACAAACTGAAGGTAAAGTGCGTGTGTGTGTGTGTGTGTGTGTGTGTGTGTTCGCGCGCGCGCGCGCGCGTGTCGCGAGGAAGGGCATGGCGGGGAGGGGGCGGCCTAGAGACTGGGCAGGGGTGAGGGGTGACCCTGGGGCAGGAGGAGAAGCGGGTGTCCCCAAAGGTTCCAGGAGAGCGCGGAAGGAAGAGCAGATGGCGCGGCGGGGGTGTGGAGGGGCTCGGGGGTGGGGCAGGGGAAGCAGGTTTGGGATGAAGGATGTAGTGGCGCTGAGCTGGGAATTGGGAGTGGAGGTGGGATGGGGGAGGAATAGGAGAGAGGAAAGAGTTAGATTTAGAGAAGATTAGGGACCCGGGTGATTGCGAATTGGGGTGTTCTGCGGGTCGAGTGTGGGAACCAAGAGGCTGGGTGAGGAGGGTAGAATTTGAGGGAAATGGGGTATCTTTTGGGAATCAACGGAGCAATGAAGGAATGAAAGTGGAGGGAAAGATGGGTTAGGAAAAAAAAGGATGAGAAATGATTGATTCCAATCAGGATGCAACCATGAGGATTGGAGATAGACACAGGAAATTGGAAGACCCAGAATTGGGTTAGGGAGGGCAATTAACTGAATGTTGAAAGGGTGAGAAGGATTGATCAGGCGTCACAGAGTGGGAGGGAAAGCAGGGGATGGAGGTAAAGTGTTAGAAGCAGTGCCTTTTGTTCCGTATTTGTGTATTCCTGCCTTTTATTTGGGGCTATAGATAGAGAAGCTAGTGGTTATGGTTGTGATTGTTGTGGAATGGGTGTGTGTGTGTGTGTGTGTGTGTATGTCACTGTTGTGAGGGCAGAGGAGACGTGTTTGTGTTATGGTAGGAAGACAGACATGGTCATAATTTGATGGTTTTGGAGAGGGAAAGAAGACTATTCCGATTTAAAGGGGGCAGGGGCAGCCATGTTTGCTGCCAGACACTGCAGAGTAAATAAATTCCTTTTCCTCGCCACCGACATCAGTGTGAATCTGGAAGGGACTGGCTTACATTGTTAACCCCGCTTCTTTCCATTCATGAACTCTTTTCCCTTACCTCTTGGGTCATTTACAATTATTCATAACCACCAAAGGAAGTAGTGATGTTTTCCATCTTGTGTGTTTTGCTGTTCTCCCCTGTTTTTTCCTCTTCTGGTTGCAAACAAGGCAGAGTGATGAACTGCAGTGTAAGATTTAACCCTTTTTGTAAATTTAAAACGATTTTTTAAAAAAGCTGAAGGATTGTTACTACTCTATTTCAAACGTGATCGTGAAAAGTCTTAAATATTTGATTGGTTTCAAATGCCTCAGAAGCAGTCAACATGTTTTCTGCAATTCTTTAAGTAAACAAGGAAATAGCATCGCTTATTTTACTTGGGGCTGTGCTCTTGGCAAAACACTGTATGGGGATGAGAAGGAGTAGGAAGATCTGTCTGTGGTAGATTACCCGTTTGCATGTTGGAAAATTAGAAATGTGTGTATTTAAAAATTCTGTTTCTGATACCTCTTGCTCATAGGTGGTGGGTGTATGAAGGTAGTACTTTCCTTTTTTTAAATAAATTCTTTGCTTCACTTCTTCCCTCTGCTTTCACATAGCTAACTCAATACAGTTTCCAAATGCCAGTTGAGCACAGTGCAATGATCTATGAAGTAGGCACAAAGTTCTTAAAGCTTCATTGAGTTGCCAGTTTTTTTTTTTTTTAAGTCAAGGCACTCAGTAAAGCTACAGAGTAACTCTTTAATGTATTCAAATGTAACCACTTGTACTATTTTAAAGGCTTAAAGCCGGACAGATTTACGTTAGATGAATAGGTATTAGAATGTTTTATTTTCATATTGAAAAGGATTAAAAATATATGATCTTTTGTTGTTTGATATTTGTAATGGGGTAATCCAGATTTTTTTTTTTTTTTTTTTTTTTTTTGGTCTTTTTCCTTTTTATCGGTACCGGGGATCGAACCCACGACTGCCTGCTTCCAAGGCAGGCGCTTATGCCGCTAAGCTAAATCCCCAGCCCCGGTAATCCAGATTTTAACCCCTTACATTAATATACAAAATGGCCCTCTCAACTCATGTTAAAATGGTAATGTGTTAGACTCAGTTCTCTTACACTATACACTCATTTTATCTGTTGTAATAGTAATGTGCTGTCTTTTACAGACAGTCATGGGATGTGTTCTTGGTTTGTTGGAAAAATTAAACTGAATATTGACAGAACAGTACTTTCTGAGAGTGTTTGTAGAATAAAAACTAAGTGTATAACTTGGAGTGGTTTGACTCAATAATAGCCTGAATGTTTTGAAATTCTGTGAGGACAAGTTCCATTCCAAAAAAGCCATTCTGTTTGTTTTGTTGGAATTTATATTTACAGAGATTTCTTATTTACATTTCCCATTCAACTGACATGTTATTTGTGATTATTTGGTAAGTTATTTGTATGAACTACCAGTGCTATACTTTTTAGGAAAATGAGTATTGTAGATTAAAATCATATTGAAAATTTGAATGAGTGTCTGATTCCCAGGGCAGGTCTCCACTTAATGAAGAAGGGCGCTTAGACACCTACAACCCTACCTGCCTTTTGGTTATCACTTCTGCTACTTGTGGTAATTTCCATTTTTCACTGTAAATTAACAAATGCTCTCTGATTAGATTGAATTTTGAATAAAGGAAATTGTCAGCAAGATTGATGACCATTGTCAAATCTGGTTCTACAGACAGTAGTTTCTGGAGTTTAAAATAATATTCATGATAATCATATTAGTAACTGCCAACATTTGCTATCTTCTTACAGTGTCCTGTGCTGGGTGTCTTACATGTATGATTTCCTTTTATTCTCACAACAGTTTTATTAGTACTTTTACTCCTTTTTACAGGTGGAGAAATTGAGTTTAAGTAATTTAACATCCTGTATGTTATTAAGCATTTAAATAGTATTTAGAACCAGAGTTTTTCTCCTTATGGAACCTGGATATTCCCTCTCTGTCTGTCTCTCTTATACCAGATATTGGACATATTTTTTTCTTTCAGTTTCTTTTCTTTCTTTCTTTCTATCTATCTATAAGGTACTAGAAATTGAACCCAAAGTTAGACTTTTAGGGGAATGAGTTTGAGGGATCTCTGTGGATCTTTACGGATTTTTTTTTTTTTTTTTTTGTATTTTGTTCATCTAATAGCTGCAAAGACAATATATTTACATGCCTCAATGAACTCAATACTTTTATATACCTAAATGAATTGGCCCAAGTTACATTGAAGTTTGTGTTTTGTGTAAAAATTTTTGGCAGAATTTTTCATGTTTTAATAAAATTGTGACTAACCAAGATAGCAGTGAAATGAATAAACAAATCAGGCATTCAATCAGGCTCCTGGAAAGAAAATAAGACACTTGTAAATTTTTTTAAAAGAAACTAAAAATACATAATTGAAAACAAAAAGCTAAAAAAAAGTCGTCAGAGACACTGTTGATTATTTTTTAATTATTTTTGCCTATTAAGAAGAAAATGGATTACTATAGATACATATTTTTTGGTTTCTTTTAAAACAAAAAAATAGTTTTATCTGTTGTAGACACTGAAGAAATTAAAAATTTTAAAGTTTTAAAACAATTTAGAATTTCATATCTAGGCACAAAGTCTGTTTCTCATAACCTATTTTTAGTTTTACTTTAGAAAAAAGCTATTGTTTTTTGAAGAAGCAACTAAGATGACTATTTCTTTGTTAATAAACAACATATCCAGCATTTGCATTTTTAAATAAATGGTAAGCTTTATTGCTACACTCTAATCTTTTATTTTGTTTTGGTTTTTGGTATTGGGGATCAAATTCCTGACTAAACTTGCCAGCAGGTGCTGTGCCACTGATAGGCCTTGGCCCCTCTAATCTTTTTATAAACATTAATAAGGATAAACTTAAGAATTACACTGACTTTATTTTTTTTCAGAGCTTACAGTCTTGTTTTCATGTTTATTGTTGACCTTTCCTGTTTCCTGTGTTACCTTTGCACACTTGCATTAGAATGTTTTACCTGTACAGTATGAATGACAAAAAAGTAAAGGCATATTTTACATTTTATGAAGTTAGAGAATGTTCAGTTTTTACTGAGTGTGTTATCACTCCTAAAGTACAGTTTCTTACTGACAAAATTTTTGAATATGAAAAGGTTCATTAAGCCAGCCTGGTGGCTCACGCCTGAATCCTGACGCTCGGGAGGCTGAGGTGGGAGGATCGTAGTGAGTTCGAGACTAGCCTGGGCTACAAAGTGAGCTCAAGCCCAGCCTGAACTGCATAGCGAGACCCCGTCTCAAAAAAGACAAAAGAAAAAAAAAAGGTTCATTTAAAAAAGAGTCTTGCCATATTTTTAAATTTTAGACATGGATTTTACTCATTAAGTTATGTTGAAGAAAAAGTGAATAAGAAAATAAAAAAAATTACATGGCGGTGTTCATTTTAATTGTCTATAACATTGAAACATTAATAATACTTTACATGGTATAGAGCATCTTCGGGATGTTTGACAGATTTCCCACCTAATAACTTTGTTGTTATTGTTGTTAATGAATCTAGAGAACACAATTATTTGACTCAATAAATGGGTGAAAGGCTGGGGATGTAGCTCAGTGGCACAGCACCTGCTTGACAAGTTGCTAGTCCCTGAGTTTGATTCCTTATACAAGGAAAAAATAATAGGTGAAATTGAGGTTTCAGCCCAGTCCTCAGGCTGAATTAACTGGTCATATTGTAAGTTTGATTAAAGAAAATTAAAGAATGTATTTCCTTTTGCTTTGTAGTTTGTATTGTTTTAATAGGCAGTTGAACATTAAATAACAAATATTTTCAACCATAGGATTTTTTTTTTTTTTTTTTTTGGTACTGGGGATCGAACTCATGACCTTGCACTTGCCTGGCTGGTGCTTGTACCACTGAGTTAAACCCTTGGTCCTAACCATAGGAATTTTTAAAATTTTTATATAAATTCTATGTATACTTCCTAAAATATATA